TTCCTTGGCCAACCCACCGACAATTATAAGGAATTAACGAACAGGTGGATGGCCTGCATCAGGGGCAACTAGTAGAGATCATTTGGGAATGAGACGGATGGCTGGAAAAGGAGAGAGAGCGAGATAGAGAGAGAAAGCGTGGGAGAGAGAGAAAGAGAGAGCGGGAAAGAGTGATAACGAGGTGTCAAAACTCCTCATTTTGTCCCCAAAAATAGCGGCATCTGGCGGTGTCAATGCGAATCGTCATTTGATCGATCATTCCACACCGCTCCTATTCACACCCTGCCGATTCTCACAGCTAATCTGACACATAGTCGGCGACGGGATGGTGTAGCCGGAGGGCATCAAGAGATCTATGCTATTAGAACACAATGGCTACGAAAACTCGATATTTTCGAGTTGGTAAGGGGCGCTTAACGGGGGGGGGGGGGGAAGGGTGGAAGCGGCCCACGCTAAGCCTAAGAAAGTTAGCCTAAGCTAGGCCTAAACCTAAGCCTCATCTAAGCCTAATCCTAAGCCTAAGCTTAAGTCTAAGCTAAGCCAAGCCTAAGCCTAGACCTGACCCCAAGCGCCTTCAGTTTGGTAATCCTCAAGTTTGTAAAGCTGTTTTTAAAGTTGTGTATTCGTCCCTCGGCGCTGGCCACCAGCCAGGCCGCCCTAAGAGAATCGCTTTTGATGCCCGATTGGCTTCGTTAGGACCCCGGGGGCCCAGAGCGGGGAGACAGAGAAGGAAGGGGTTGGACCCCTTCCTGCGGGCCCACCCGCTAAAAAGTGGCCTCGTTCCCGGGGTCGTTTTGTCGCCGCGTTGTCACTACTGCCCGCAGCGCCCGCAACATTTTCGGGAAGATCTCAGGGATGTGGCAAAAAGCTGCACGGAAATACGGTAGGTTTCTTAAATTCGTATACTGTAAGACAATTAGGCAAAGTTTCTAGGGTTTCTTGACTTACTTACTTGGCTTCTGAAACTTTATAGAGACGAGTCAGACCTGAGTACGGGCTTGCTTGGCTTATAGAGTCCAGGCACTCTCGACAAGCAGGCTTGAACCTAAGCCTCGTACAAGCCTAAGCCTAAGCCTAAACCTAAGCCTAAGCCTAACCTAAGCATAAGCCTAAACCTAAGCCTAAGCCAAAACCTAAGCCTAAGCCTAAGCCTAAGCCTAAGCCTATGCCTAAACCTAAGCCAAAACCTAAGCCTAAGCCTAAGCCTAAGCCTAAGCCTAAGCCTAAGCCTAAGCCTAAGCCTAAGCCTAAGCCTAAGTCTAAGCCTAAGCCTAAGCCTAAGCCTAAGCCTAAGCCTAAGCCTAAGCCTAAGCCTATGTCAAACCTAAGCCAAAACCTAAGCCTAAGCCTAAGCCTAAGCCTAAGCCTAAGCCTAAGCCTAAGCCTAAGTCTAAGCCTAAGCCTAAGCCTAAGCCTAAGCCTAAGCCTAAGCCTACGCCTAAGCCTAAGCCTAAGCCTAAGCCTAAGTCTAAACTTAAGCCAAAACCTAAGCCTAAGCCTAAGCCTAAGCCTAAGCCTAAGCCTAAGCCAAAACCGTCCTACCTGGTATTGACTGACGCTTCTCAATCACCTCCCCTTAATGCGCTAGTGAAACCCTTGGAATCTGCTATTCTGATGCCCCGTTCAAACGTAGACTCCGAGGCTTCAACACCCCGACCTCCCGAAGCATTTGCACTTTGGCAGCGGTACGGAAGCCCATCTATCTCTCGGCGAGTCTAGACTCTGCTTCTCTCCCCACTCTCTCTCTCTCTCTCTCTCTCTCTCTCTCTCCCCCCTCTCTCTCTCTCCGGTCCCGCCCCTTTCCCGGGCCCCATGTATGGGCCCCCAGGGCTCCACCCGAATCACTTTGCACTTGACGGGCTCCGGCTGCCTCACCCCCACCAGGCAATACTACTCGTATACTCTATTGACGTATTTATGCTACTAATACCAATATTAATACTACAGAATACTACCTAACACTACTCTGTGTATTCCATTAACGTCGCCCCCGGTAGAGAAGCGCCTTTTTTGCAGTTGCTTTCAAGAGGTTTAATCGATAGGTTTTTTGTAATTATGTATGTCTGTCTGTGTGTTTATCTCTCGCTCTCTCTCTTTCTCTCTCTTTCTCTCTCTGTCTCTCTCTCACACACTCTCTCTCGCGCTCTCTCTAACCTGCAATCTCATCACTTATTCATCGGCTATCCCGTCTGCACCTTCGTCTCGAACGTTCTGCGCCTGAGGTCAGGTCAGGTTTTAGGCTTTTGAAACGAACGTTTTTTTCAAAGTTTTCTTCCTTGTGCCATTTTTCCGCCGACCTTACAAAAAATCTCGCTCTCCGGCTCTCTCATGCTCACCCTCTTTCTTGCTCTCTCTTGCTCTCTCTCTCTCTCTCTCTCTCTCTCTCTCTCTCTCTCGTTTTGGGCTTGGTTTTGGGCTTGGGATTGGGCTGAAGCTTAGGCTTACGCTGAGACAAGCTCGTGATGTCCAGATGGCAGACTGTATGTCTAGACCCCGAAATGTCCATGGTCATATTCCATGCCCCCAAAAATGGCCTTGACCAACACCAGCACCCCGACCCCGGCATTTTTTGCCGCCCATTTTCAAACACACAGTCTGACTGTCTGTCTGTCCGTTTGTCCAGATTCTAGGAACCCCTGAAAAATGGGGGTAGCTACCATCCCGGGGGGGCAGGTGGGGCTAATCCCTGCGGGACCCATCCCCCCTGGTTTCCATTGGGCACCTGCATACAGGCTCCTTGACCCACGGCCATCTGCCCCCAGGGCACATTCTAGCTCTCTCGCTCCGCTCTCTCTCTCTCTCTCTCTCTCTCTCACGCATCCAAGCTCCGCCCACTTTTAAAGGCATGCCCCAGCGACCGTATCGTCTAGATACACCCACATCTTGCCATGCGCCCCCAGGGCATCAGGCTCGGATTTCATCTCCTGCTCATCTTTATGCTACGCTACCGTATCCACATACCGTAACCCCCTCGCTCTAGAATTCCGGAAAATTACTGCGGAACAACAAATTCCTAGAATTTCTACAGTACTTGTTGATCCTTCTGTATACAGACACCTTTTGGTTATTCTTAGTCTCTATTACTCTACTAGACTATGACGTCGTTTAACGTACTCTACCGAACTTTACCGTACGTTTTGTACGTGGCAGTACGCGTCGAAGTTAGAGTATTCCACCGTACAACACCGCACTCTAAGGTACGCAGCAATACGCTAACTCGATCGGGCACTCTTTACCGTACTTTAGTGTACTCTACGGTACGTAACCTACGCTACTGTACACAAAGGTACGCGACAATACGCTATCGCACTCGTCCATGATTCTCAATGTATCGTAACCCGGAAGAAGTTTATTTTTGCTAGTTATTCGCTCTTTTTGGGTCATTTTTAGCCCCCTTTCTTGCATATTGGTATTTATATACCATTGATTTCTAGTACGTTTTAGTACGTTTTTACCGAATTCCGATGATTCCAGCGGAATGGCTCGGAATCTATTTTCGGGAGTGAAATTCCAATTCCAATTTAGCTCCAAAATACACCCAACCCTTCCCCAAAACGTGGCCATCTCTCAGCCTTCATCGGTGACTTGGTCTAAAAAAGTGTACTAAGGCACGCGGTGAATGCCAAGAGCTCGCCCCTACGACAAAAATCGTATATTCCGATTTGATCTTTATATATTGACAAAGCTACCATATCAATTTTTAAACGTGCAAAATATTCGCGAAAATGGCTGATGGTGGTTAACCCCCGATAAGCTACTAGCCCCTCCCACCGCTAACGAAACAGTACCTATTATAGCAGAAAGCTTTGTGTGATTAGCCTATTAACTTCAAGGACCCAGCCGCCCCTTTCAGCCACCTTTTACAGCAATCCCGATGCAAATCGGTGCCCTTTATGGATGCCCGTGGGGTTTACCCACCACGCTAATGATATGCGCATTAATAGAAAGGTTTTTTGGAGGTCTTCTTTTGGGTCCCGCCACGGGCGGATAGGGGGAGACGAGGCGGGGCAGGCAGGACATCCTTCGATGGGGCGTGGGATTGATGGGGTAGCTACTACCACCTGTCATCCCATACAAGGAGCGGGAGAGAGAGAGTGAGAGAGAGCGAGAGAGAGAGAGAGAGAGAGAGAGCAACAGAGACAGACAGATGGTACCAACAAACGGACAAGTGAACAGACAGACAGACACCGATCTACCGAGTGAAATGGTCGGCTGTGAGGGAAAATTCTAGACCTCAAACATCTCTGCAAACTTGCTTTCCAGAATGCTTTTTGTGTAATAGACAATATTCCAAAAACGACGCTGCTAGCTTGCCTTCTTAAAGGGTTAAGAGAGCGGGAGCAGAAACGATTTATGCTAAGTTTGAAGTAAAAACCAACTTTAGGTCATTTATCCGGGCCTTTCTGATCCCTTTAATGCACAGTTTCCAGTGGATTTGAAGAAAACGTAAAAATCCTCAAAAATCTCTGCTAGCTCGCCCTGAGCCCTAATTCCGCAATTCCGAAAGAATCTTTGCGGGCTTGCCCATTCTCGGACACATTCTCGCAGCTGCCCACAATGCCAATATTCCAAAAGTGTTGGTCCTGGTCCATCAACTACGTTGGGCCCTTGGTTGGCCCTTTGCCCTCCCGTGTGGCCAGGGTGGGGGCCACCTTATTAGATTAGTGGCCGCTGAAAGGCGTCGTGCCAACACGCCGGGCACCACATCTCGCCCCGTCAATCCACCACTATACGGCCAATACCAGGGGGTTCTATGATTTCGCCACACGGACTTTTGGTATACCATTAATGCATCGGGGAAACGGCCTCTAGCTTTAGAAATCGAAAGCAAAGAAAAACAGGAAGTGACAAAAGAAAGGAAATGCATGAAATGTATGCATTCATGAAAGGAAAACGGTATCTATATCATTAGCGCGCCAACGATCTGGACAAGACATTAATGCACCAAATATGATATATCTTTGAGGCGCGGTCCCGTTAAAAAGACCCCCAGATGACTAACCTTGTTTTGCCGCCAAATGCAGTGGCGAATTCCCGTCATCGTCTTTGGCTTTTGCGAGGGCGGCGGACCAGCTGAGGAGCAGCCGAACCTACAGTATTCGTTTTAAAGGGACTGTTTAGGTAGATATATATTTTTTGGCTAGGGATTCTATCCAATTTTGACGTTGCCGTTACACGCACCGCGCGAACCAGCATTTCCAACGCGTAATTGATTACGACAGGTTTTTCGCATCTTCGCTTCTGTCAATTTTTACCAAATCCCTGCAGGACCAATTCGAATAAAAATCGTGATTTTCTGGACGTCTGGACTTGATCGTCTTTGCTAAAATTGGTAATTTCCCAAAATCCACGGAATTCCCTGTCTTCCAAACCCCTTTAAAGGCCCAGGATCTGATTATTAGTACCAACAGAAGCCAAAACAAACACGACGACGCACCAATGCAAATAACACCCCCCCCCAGTCCCCTCATAAAAACCCACAACTGGCAGATGGCCGTTCATGGCAGCCATGTGTAGCGGCGTTTGTTTGTCCTCGTTCAGCGCGTCCTCCCGCGCCCCGTAGCGCTTCAGGATCTACAAGGAGATATCTTTGAAGGCATCCACAAGGCGCAAAGAATCCCTGCTAGTTTGCCTTGGATCAAAATAAAATAAAGAAAAATACCGACTTGACAAGCCTCCAGGTATCCATTGACGGCAGCGATGTGAAGGGCGGTTGATTGATCGAGATCCGCGCTGAAAAAGTTTTTAGAGGGTACGGCAAGCCTAAGCCCAAGCCTAGACCCAAGCCCAAGCCCAAGTCCTAACCTAAGCCCATTCGAAGCCTTAGCCTTTGTCTAAGCCTACGTGAAGTCTAACCCCAAGCCAAGCTGGCGGCCCAAGCCTCTCACCTATTCACGAGCCCAGCCACCGAGTCGAACTTGTTGGTGTTGATGCGCAGGGAGCGCATCTGTTTCCGGGCGATCGTGGGCTTTTGATTTTGCAGCCGATCGAGCATCCACTAATGGCCAGCGTACGGGTCACACTGACGAATTCGAACCTGTAAATACGCGACGTTGTTGTACTTTGCCGCCAGGTAGATGATGTTCCGCCCTTCCGAATCTGAAGCCATTCGATTGGCGTGGTAGTCGAGGAGCACCTGAATTTCGGCGATTAAATGGTTTATTTTCCGTTTTTAGAAGATTTTAGGCGGATTAATTTAAGCTTTACGATCCCTTTAAAACCCAAATCAACGCTCACATTTGCTGACTCGATATTCCTCCCGGGCGCCGTCCTCAAAAGCGGTGTCATCCCGTTGATGTCGCATTTTTCGAGATTGTGAAGCCGGAAGCTGGGGTCGCCGATTTTCTAAATTAATTTTATGTTATTTAAAAGCGCGAGATGGTACGTTTTATCAGCGCGAGATGGTACCGTATTCTAACGTATCAGGTATCGTATCCTAACGTATCCTAACGTTTTCTAGCGCATCATAACGTATCGTAGCATAACGTAACGTAACGTAGCGTAGCGTAACGTAACGTATCGTAACGTATCCTAGCATAGCCTAACATTTTGTAGCGCATCGTAACCTAAGGTAGCGTAACGTATCGTAGCGTAGCGTAACGCAGCCAAATTCTAGCGTAGCGCAACGCAATGTATACTTTTATGAACATCCTCACCTTGTCGAGCTTCAAATATTTCCCTAAAAAATATTCGAGCACAGCCGCCTGATTCGACGCGGCCGCCAGGTGCAACGGGATCTCCATCTTTTCATTTTCATACAGTATGTTAAAACCGTACTAAAATATTAAAATTAGAAGATTACGGTATTTACGCTATTAAATTTAGAATACTTATAATTCCCAAATTTCCCACCATTTCCAAGTCTTCCAAAATCTCCAGAAAGCCCTTGGAGGCGGCGACGTGGGGCAGAAGTTTCTCGTCGCTTAAAAAGTGATATTCAGTGCAAATTAGCTTAAATAACTACAAGTAAAATTGAAAATAATTTTAGTAGTTTAGATCCTTAAAACAATTTCTATTGTCAATTTAATGAAATGTTACCTCGTCAATTCGGTGACCTTTTTTCGTGCTTGCCCATCCCCGTCGGGAACCGTAATCGCGATCAGCTCTAGCATCCTAAAAACGAGGTTTTAAAGGTACGATATCCTAAAATTTCAATGTTTAATTTTTTCAAAAATAAAAAATTTTGCAGATCAGAAATGTTAATTTTTAGATAAAAAAATAGAATTTTGATTAAATTTTGATTTTTTTCACAGGCCATTTTTAGGGTTTTCGTAATTTCGTAACTTACATTCTGACGACCTGGATATGATTCCGCTCCACTGCCAATTGCAGCGGGGTGTTTCCCTCGCTATTCGGCTTCCGCAGCATCGTCCGCGCCGTGATTCCGCCTGAAATCAATTTATCTGTCCGGGTTACGGTAGATAAAAAGCACAAAAACGCTCCACAGTACTCAATCCCATCGCAAAATAGGGTACGGAATCCAATGATTAGGAAAGCACGGAAAACCCGGAAAAGTACGGTAGAAGTGGTACGATGCTTTCTCTCTCTCGTTCTCTCGCTCCTCTGCACTCTCTCTCTCTCTCGCGTTATCTCACTCTCTTTCCCTTTTCTCTCTCTCTCTCTCTCTCTCTCTCGCTCTCTTTCTCTCTCTCGCTCTCGCTGGCTCAATCTCTCAACCCAATACACAATACAATACGAACTTCCCGATACATTACCCCCCACAATCCACAATTACAGCAGAAGCATCACGAATCCTGATGACGACATCCCCCCACCAAAATTCTTGTTTGTAAGTGCGGCTGCAGTGGATAGTTGTGCGACGAAAGACATCGATTCCAGCAGATTACTATGTTCAATCCCAATCGGGGCCACTTCGGCTACCTTCGGTGGCAGCTTCGGAGATACCAACTCTCCGAATGTCAACTTCCGGATGGCCACATCGGTGTGCGGCTCCTCGACCTCGCTGACTTAAACGGAACGTGCCGGCTGCTTCCGGGATTTCAGGAATGAAAGCCGCAAAAATTTGGGAAATGGTGCGGGGAATTGATTACGCAATGGAAATATGCCTTGAAAACACCGATTTTCCGCACAGAACCCTGCTAACTTGCCTCGATGCTATTTTTCAAATAATCTCTGCTAGCTTGCCCAAATCTCCTCAAAAAAATCCACTCACTCGCGCCGACGAGCAGCTTCAACACGGAATGATGGCCGTACTGGGAGGCCAGGTGGAGCACGGTGTTGTCGCGTTTGTCGCGCAGGTCGATTCGGGCCTTTTCGTGTAGCAGGATTTCCACCTGGAACAGGAGATGAACAGCAAATTGATAGAGTTTTTTCATGTTCGATTTTAGTCCGAAAACGCACCACATCAGCCGCTCCGTGCACGCAGGCCGTCATTAGGGGTGACATGTTCACGCTGTCCACCGGCTAAAATGTGGTTTTTAGAGTGGGTGAGAGGGAGAGAGAGAGAGAGAGGGAGAGAGAGTGAGAGCTACAGAAAAACCCACATCAACCTGACACTTGCATGCGATAAGCGCATGAGTCGCAGTCGCACTGCCTCGCATCGCCGCATAGTGCAGCGGCGTCAACTCGTAGCAGTCCTTGGCGTTCACTTCCCTTAAAGATTTGAGGTTTGTAGTTTGTGACAACTTACCCTCCGTGCGCCTTTAGCAGCAAAATAATCTGGTAGGTGGCATCGTTGGTGTCGAAAACTCGGCACTGATCTTCTCGCCCGGATTCGTCTTCTGAAAATTTTGACCTTGGTCGCTTCTCTCTCTCTCTCTCTCTCTCTCTCTCTCGCATACCATTCTTTTCCGTTTCCTTCCGATAGTATCTGGCCGCAAAGTGCAGCGGGGTGAAGCCCTCCAGCGACTGGGCATTCGGAGAGGCGCGCTGTGTCTGCTGGCTGGGCTGCCTATGGATTTCGGGCTTGCACGGTTCTTTAGAAATTTATTTACCATTCCAACAGCATCTTGACGACTTGAACATTACGGTATCTGGCGGCGTAGTGGAGGGCCGTTAACTAGAATGGGGCGGAATTTTGAAGACAGGACAAAGAGAGCGAGATAGAGAAGGCGAGAGAGTGAGCGAGAGAGAGAGAGAGAGAGAGAGAGAGAGAGGAGAGAGAGAGAAAGAGAAAGAGCGAGAAGAGGGTAGAAGGACACAATTCCCTACCCCCTCATCGTCCTTTGCATCCAGCAACTCTTCATGCTCCTCCAGAATTTTTCGCAGCCCCTCAACATTTCCGTCTCGAGCGTGTTGATGCACTAAAGTAAAAATTTTCCGAAGAAATTTTCGCCTTTTCACCAATCTATCTTCTGGGGGATACAACACAAATTCCCGCGGGTAGTGACCAAAAACCCGAGTTGTTCCCCCGACTTACCATTTTGCCAGTAGATTGTGGAGGGTTCTAGAGAAGTTTTGATCAAAAGTTACTATTTTCCTCTCTATCTCGCGCAATCTCTCTCTCCATCTCTCTCGCTTCCGTGGCATGCTACAAACTACGAAACACACCTATCGACTTCCAGTTGCTGAGATCGGCGTCCAGAAAAGTGGTTTGAGCTCGATCTCTGGGTGTGAATACCTCCACATAGGCTGTAAATGTTGAGTATAATTCGTTAATGAGTGTAGTTTGTAGCTTTAAAGATACATTTTTGGCAAAAAGGCTAATGCATTTTTAAGTGGTAAATTAAAAGCATCCAAAAATGCCGATTTGGGCTATATTTTGCCTTCCACGGCCCTTTAATTCCGCCTCGAACCCCGCTTACGTTCATTTTCCTCCTCATCCGATTTCCTGTCGGTCTTATCGCCCAACTCGAGAAGGGGCAGCCGCACGTGGGCCCCTCTGTGCAAGACGGGCATAAGCCCGGCGAAGTGGGAAAATGGCTGAAATGACACAGAATATAGAACGGAAGAAAAACATTAGAAAATTAATAAAGAGGTGAATTAAACAAAAATTTGCAATTTCTTCAATACGACATGGTAAAAATATAGTAACGAAAACTCAAAAATTAGGGTACACATTTTTCGCATATTCGCATGAGCGTCTGGAGTATTCAGGCGGAATAATTCTTTTATGCTATTAAATAGACCTTTTGGACAGACATTTAAATATGAAATTTTCGCTTATGAAATACAAAAGATACAAAGTTTTTGAAAAGCCAGAACCCGGGAAAAGGGGTGTCAAAAAGGGGAAAATAGTAGCGCCTCACTGGGCAATCAAGGTCGCCGCCAGGTGAGTCATGGAAAGCAGGTAAGAGAGAGAGAGACAGAGAGAGAGAGAGAGAGAGAGAGAGAGAGAGAGAGACGGAGTGCCCAAAACAGGGAATTATGGCCGGTATTGTCGATAGGCCGGTGGGGGAAATTGGACGGAAAAAGTCAAGGAGTCAATGCGATTTTGAAACGCCTCAAAAACCAGGTATTAACAATAGCTTGAATTTTAGTTAGTTGATAGCAAGAAGCTCAGAAAATTTTGACACAAAGATTTTGGTAAATTCGAATTGAACTGCAAAAATCGACTGTATTGGTTGAAATGCAGTAGAAAGTTTCAGATTTCCTTTATTTATTACAAAAAAAAACGCTAAAATATAGCGTAATTGACCTAAATCATAATTTAAAATAAATCCTACCTTATATAATTTTGGCGCGTATGTGTGTGTGTGTGTGTGTGTGTGGATGTCCGGACCCCCGGGGCCCGATTTGAGGGCCTTCCCGTGTCCAAAAAGCCCCATTCTCCGTCACCCGGGGAATCGGGACCCTTCTGTTTTGGGTTGCGTTGGTGTTTAGAATTTCGATAAAATTTCAAGTTTACAAAGTTAAAGGCGGTTTTATTCATTTTTGGGGGTAGCTGAAGGCTAATTTGCATAATGCGAAAAATACGAACTTCCTCATTCTTGCCAGTGCACCCCCGCGCGGGGGGCGCGGGGGGCCGGGGTCCGCAGGACCCGTGATAAGGAAGCAAACTTTTCTTGAAAAGGCCTTCCGGCGCCAAGGCCCGCGAAGCGGGTTTTGGGCGCTGGTTAGAAAATAATCAAAATAAAATAGACTAAAATAGTGATCACTAAATTTGCCAGGCCTTGCTTAATGAGCAAAACAAGCTAAAATTCGCGGTAAAAATCCTAAAAATCATCTTGAAAATCCTAAGGTGATTTTAACAATTAATTGAGGCGAAATTTATATGGAAAATTGGTAGATTATTCATTGAAAATCCAGCAGAAAATGCTTTTCGTACAGCCTGCGAGCCCCGCAAAGGGGGCGCGAAATAGCCCCAACCTCCCGCCCCGCCCGGCTGACCAAACGATAATTCTAGCCCGACCAAAGCGGGGAGGTATTATTATTTGTTTGCTGGGGTACACTACAGGCCTTTGCTGTGAAAAGTCCGTGCATGGTATTCCAGCGGAAAAAGAGGGCGGAGAAGGGGCACATTGATCCATGGCCGAGCCGCCGTGGGGGTCGGCGAGTCATCTCTAGCGGCCAGCCGAGCAAATATTACGCGCCTCACACACACGCACACTCTAGACACGGCTAGGGGTGCTCGGACTGACCGAAAAAAGGGGAGTACGGCTCACGCCTCATTACGCGATGGAATCCGGGCGTTTTAAAGGGACTAGGAAGTCAAAATGCTCGTGTTCGCGTTCGCGCTGATCATGAAAAACTAAACGACTACTGCCTAAAAGAACCAGCGAATTTTTTGCGACGCGGAATGCGAAAAGGCTAACGTTTTTCGGGCCAGCTCGTCTTTTTGGGGCTGCGGGAATTATATGTCGTAATGTAATGCGCTCAATTCTTTGAGGATTTATTGCTCTTTGATTTGTTTATCAGCCCGTGAATTTTTGCGTTCAATTTTTCTAATATAAATAGAGAAAGTTTTCTTGAACTGTAAGAATTTTTATAAAAAACACAAAAATATAGATTCTTCGACTAAAATTTGGGCACTATAAATTTTAATAGGGCTTGATTTGGTTTTCTCGGCGCGTTGAAAAAATTCGAGTTTGATGGGCTTAGGGGGGCGCGTTGAAAAGTTTTTTCTGAAAGTTTGAAAAAAAGTTTGAAAAAGATGAAAATGTCCAGCAGTGTATAATGCGAATCAGCGGTCCCTTTCCCTGTATAAATGTATAAAGTGTCCCTTTCGCCCTCTCTCTGGGCTCCCTTTTTCGGGGGGAAAAGCAGGGGCATTTTTGGTTGTCGCGGATACGCGCAGCTAGATACCACCACACACAACACCCGTAAATAAATATATATGCGCCCGTAAAATGGTGGTTGGAGCTTGAATTCCTATGCATAAAACGCCTCGAAAAACATAATAAATCCCGAGAAATCCGACGATAAAAATGCTTTATTGAATTTGAATAGAAAAAAATCAGAATTCGGAAAAATAATGGAATACATAAATAAACAAACATACGTATAATTTCACAGAATCTTCAATTTAAAAAAATTGAAACGTTAAACATGGCAGAGGCAAAAATATGTTATACAAAGTACCAGTATCACAGGGTGGTAAAATCCGAATTAAAACAGGAAAAAGTAGCTTTGACGTTCAATAAACGTTTTTAAACGCTCCAAAAATCAAAGCCTGCACTACGCTACGTGCCAATCAACGCGTGGCATTGTTGCGACTTTCATGAATGAAAATTTCCGCTTTCGACTTGTCGTGGCCCCTTTAAAGTAAGAGAAATCGATAAAATTCGATGTATCTACATTTATATAAATTAGCAAATTAAATTTGAAGCTGTGGCGCCAGGGTCGGATGGGTGAGGAGGGGCATCATTTGCGTTTCTGAAAACGTGACTACAATCCGGTTGAGCTCTAGCTACCTTGTTGCTCCCTAACTGGTGCCGAGTCCAGCTCCAGCCCGCCGTCGTTGAACAGGGTTCGCACCTAAAAATAGGCTGATATAAAAAAACCCCTTCTGGTGCCGCTTACCTGGCCGGGGTTGGGGTTGGGGTTGAACACCTCGACGGAAGCGCGGAGTGGGACGTTCAGTACCGTACCCCCGGGGATACCAAGGGCGGAAAGGCGGGGGTCGATGAGTTCTGGAAAAGGTATAAAGCTATGTCTTTCTTTCTCTCTCTCGTTCTCGCTCTCCTTCCCTCTCCCTCTCTCTCACTCTCTCACTCACTCGTTGTCTCTCTCACTCTCTCACTCTCTGACTCAGTCTCTCTCTCTCTCTCTCTCTCTCTCTCTCTCTCTCTCTTCCACCTACCTTTATTGACGATGGATGAAGTGCTAGAATCAACACCACCGGCAGCCGTGGATGATTCGGTCGAGCTCTCGCTCAAATTGCTCGCCACCGTCGCCCCAGTTTCGAGTTGGCCTGAAAATAAACGGTCATTGGGACCGGTAGATGTCATTTTTGAGTTTTTTTAGAGTACTTCTACGAGAATACCTCTTCACTAAAATACCTCTCTACCCACCTACAACTGTGCCATTATCATAAATCGTCGTGTTCGTCTCCGGGATAACGGTGGAGTTGCTGGGGGCTTGCTCCAGGATCAGGGCGGCGGTATCTGGAAAATTAGTATTAAATTTAAACCAAATTTTTCGTTGAAATCAAAAGTAAAAATTGCGAAAATTAAAACTAAAATTGGTGCCGCACTACCTCCAGGCTTTTGCTCGAAGCCCGACACCTGCTGCGCCGCAAAATTCAGGGTGTTCGAGACGTTGTAGACGAACGCGTCACCACGACGTAGATTGGCTACCTGCCGGACCTGGAGATATAGACCATAAACTACACGCCGCTTAAAATACCCGCAGCTCAGCGGAACTCGGCGTCTTCGTGGTGGTGGTAGGGGCTTCGGTGGTCGGGACGGAAGTACTGAAAATGGGTGATGATAATCGGTTAATGACAGGAAGTGAGTAGACGACGTCTCTAACTTTAAGATACTTAACGACTTTAAGGTAAAGTGATATGATCTTCGTGTTCCCATTAGAAAGCTTTTTTACTACCTTTCAGTTGACTCCGTAGGTATCACTCGTACCAGCTGCTCGTCCAATGGGCTCAAAATTATTGGCGGGAATGAGGTGGTCTGGAAATTGAGTAATTTCAGAGAGATCGAGAGAGAGTGTGAGAAAGCGAGAAAGAGATAGAGAAAGAGCGTGAGAGAGAGAGAGGGAGAGAGGGATAGACAGAGAAAGCGAGAAAGACAGAGAGAGCGAGAGAGCGAGAGAGAGAACGAGACAGAGAGATCGAGAGAGAGAGCGAGGGAGAGATAGACAGAGAGCGAGATAGACAGGGAGAGAGCGAGAGAGCAACAGAGAGAGCGACATAGAGCGAGAGAGAGAAAGAGAGAGACCGAACGAGTGAGCGAGTGAGAAAGAGAGCTATACCGCTTACCGCTTCCACAGCAAAAGGATCGACGTCGAGAAAATCTGGAGTGGTCATCTGTTTCTCCATACCGACAATATCATTCCCGGTACGTTTCATGGCTTAAAAGCATTTTTTTGAAATTTGACAGATGTTTCCTACCTTCCATCTCCTTCTCCGTCATCTTTGCCTCTTTTTCTAAAATGCCCGGTTTGCTACCGTAATTCTGAAACGCTGCTTACCCACTAGCGTATCGATGATCCGGCTGACCTCTTCGCTTTGCGATGAATTGCTAAAAAAAGTATTGGCTTACGGTAGAATCGTACGCTATTTTTGCCAAATATTAAAAATCTAATTAGATTTTAAAATTATTATTCCACTGTAGAAATAAAGAAGTAGTTTTTTACAGCTCTTAAACAATCTTAAACTAGGATAGGGCAAGACCGCAGTGATTCTTGGGGAAAGGGGGCAACCGGTAATTGTATAATTTAATGACGTAATCGGATTTTATGTTTTTTATTGTTGTAACTTTGTCAATTAAGGTCAAAAAGTTGGCTTAATCAATAATATTGAAAGCAAGATACGCATTTTCGAAATTCGCAAAACCGTACACCATCGTGTCCTCGGTCTGCTCCACCTGGAAGTTGATCGGGTCCACCTCGATGCCCGTGTTCTCGTGGATTTGTGATGGGGCCTTGGCTTTGACTGAAGATACCGTAGCCGTGAAATTCAATTTTAGGTTTAGCTTACTTTTCATAAAAGTTGCGTGCAAGGCTTCTTTATCAAGGACTTCATCTCTGAAAAGGTCGTTTTGGTATGGAACGTTCTCTCTCTCACGCTCTCTCTGACTCTCTCTGTGTCTCTCTCTCTCTCTCTCTTTCTCTCTCTCTCTCTCTCTCTCTCTCTCTCTCTCTCTCTCTCTTGCACTCTCTCTCCCTAACTCTCTAACTGTCCTACTCTTTTCCGCTCGTTCCGCGAATGGCCAAAATGACGCCGAACACGAAGAGCACCGGGATGAAAATGGCCAGTGCGCGCAAGCTTTGTGTTAGCCACATTTTCTGAAACTTTTCTTTGGGATTTCCGGTTTTTAAAGAGAGTGTGAACGCAAAAAATCTACATCTAAAGCTGTGAAATAAAATTTCTTAACTTAAGGGCCAGACAAGGCTGGATGATGGAATGCTACAGGGATGGATTTGGCCGGAACCGGATGCAACGCACCCACAAGTCCATTTTAACGGAGCCGACAGGAAAAAGAATATGAATGCACTAATGAACGCAATTGAGAATTAAGGAGAAAGCAAATTAGGCCTCCAAACATGCAAAAAACCAAATAAAGCCTTGTCGATGGCACAGTGCGTTGCCGTCTTGCCAAAAGCATGCGCCTTTTCGGGTAGAGATTCCGATCGGGAATGGGCGGATGGGGGAATCGGATGAAGCCGGGTGGACGCGCCTTTCCGTGTAGATGTAGAATTCCGATACCATTCATCCGTTTCCAGCTGCATCTCCCGCTTCGTCTCTGCGGCACCCCCCCCCCCCATCCTCAAAAATGCGCCCGGGGTGCAAAACCCGAAATTGGGCGGAGTGAATGTGCATTTGCGCATTTTGTGGGTAGTTTATGCTTGTCGTAAATTGGGTCTAATCTATAGGACGCAAGCCCAAAACTAAGCCTAAGCCTAAGCCTAAGCACAAGTCAAGGCCTAAGCCTAAGCCTAAGCCTAAGCCGAAGTTTAAGCCGAAGTTTAAGCCTAAGCCTAAGGCTAAGCCCAAGCCAAAGCCTACGTTTAAGCCCGAGCCTAGGTCCAAGCCTAAGCCTAAGCCTAATCCTAAGCTTAAGCTTTCAAAAGGAGCCTACATTTTTTTAGTTAGTTTTTTTAGTTATAGTTTAGTTTTTTGTAGATTTGATTGTCTAGCTGAACTCTCTCCATTTATTTGCATTTTTTCATTTATTTATTGATTTATTTCCATTACACCAATTACAAAAATCAGCTCAGAAGAAGCCTGCGTCAACGGGGAAAAGATCTTCGTTAGATAATGCGGGGGGACGGGATATGTATTTGCGTACAGGATTACGCTAGGAGAGATCATTCAGGATATACCAAAAGTATACGAAAAATAAAAGATTATCAAAATTTCCTGGGCTTAAAGCTCGTGTTCAGCGGGACTAGATGGTCTCCAGATTAATCGAATTATTGAGGGCGGGGTTCAGGTCGATCTCCTCGATGCGGTGGTCGGCGTTGAAGACGTTCACCTAAAATTTATGATTTTTACCTGGGATGGATTTCTTAATTTAATTAAATTAAAATTGATTTAAAAATTTACCTGCATTTTTTAAGATCAACCGTCCCCTAAGCCTAAGCCAAAGCCTAAGCACAAAGCCTAAGCCTAAACCTAAGCCAAGCCTAAGCCTAAGCCTAAGCCTAAGCCAGAGCCTACCCAATTTCTCACCTTCGAATCATTGCGGTGGAAGGGTGCCTTTTCGGTTCGACGCAACTCTTCCAGCCGATCACGCGACCCTTTGGGTTTTGGGAGTCGCTGCTCGACTTCTACCGTAAGACTCGCGGGCTCGACGGCTTCGTCCATAAGCTCCTGGAATTGTCAAAGTTTCAATGAATATTTTTCCTCTGGTCATTTTAAGTCAGAGCCTAAGCCTCGGCCTAAGCTTACGTTTAAGGCAAAGCTAATCCGACCCTAAGCCAAGCCTAAGCCTAAGCCCAAGCATAAAAACTGTCTACCTTCTCAACCCCTTTAAACATGATCTATTAAAATCGTACCACCGAAACGGATCGTGGCCGTGGCGTCTTCGGGTTGTCGTGATCATGATGCTCTTCCCGGATCTCCTCCAGCACCTTCTGGCTGCTGAACTGCTCGCGGACGCGCGACTCGAACTCCTCGATCGTCTCCTCCGAGTTGAACTTGGTCTCCAGCTTTCGTTGCGAACCCTCTTCGGCTGACTAAAAAATTGGGAATTAAATCATTCATGAACTTCCTCCATTAAAGGGGCGGCTTCGTATGGATTTTGTCGCTGTAGATTAGCCCAAATTACTCGCACGTGGCATTTCATAGCGTAATCGTTTACGTTGTGGCACGTAGCGCTGAGTGCCACGTGCGTGCACGCGTTGCGTGCTGCGCTGCGTATCGCGAGTTGCGTGGCGCGTTGCGTGGCGAGTTGCGTGGCGCGTTGTGTGGCGCGCTGCGTGGCGCGTTGCGTGGCGCGTTGCATGGCGTGTTGCGTGTTGCGTGTTGCATTGCTTGTGAAGTCCAATGTCGCGTTGCGTGCCGCATTGCGCATCGCGTTACTTGTCGCGTTGCGTATCGCGTCGCGTGTCGCCTTGCGGCAACATCGATAGCAACAAAAATGTTTAACCGGACCTTGCCAATTCCTTTAATGCAAAAATCAAAATTTCCACTACCTTCTCATTCTTCCCCGTCTCGGCCCTCTTGACGATGCTCGGCTTGTCAGCGACCTTCTTCTTGTTCTTGTTCAGCTGCGCGGTACTGCCGCCGTGTTTTGTTTGCTTGCTAAATTCTGAATTTTAGGTATCTTTAAAACGACCGACTCATCAAATCGATCGCGCTCATTCTGCCGATCCTGCCGCTCCTCCTCGTTCCGTTTTGAATGCCGCCTACACCCGCACAGCCACACGATCAGATTCGCCACGGCCAGGAACACGCACACGCCCACGATTGCGATTATGGAGATTGTCTTAAACAAATTGGTTAATTCGTGGTTTAAAGGACCACTGAAGGCAAGAATTTTTAGCGAATTTTCATCGAAATCAATTTGACAGGAGCGCTGAAAGCGAGGATATCCCTAAAATTTTTCAGAGGATTTTATAGCCTATTTTTACACTATTTAGAAAATTTAAAAATTACAGATTTACCCCATTTAAAAAAAGTAAAAGGTGATTGACGGCATGATCCCTTGTGGATTTTTCGTAAAATATTTTTTGGGCTCAAAAAATGTCTTTATATTGAAAGTTTAAATACAAAGTGCATTTTAAAGGGACCAGGAAGATTTAAAATTTGGCTCACTGGCTGCCTTAATGCGTTCATTTATGAACTGAATTTATGCTCATTTCTACCGTACCTCCTGGCCGAACTCGATGAGACCCCCCGACTCGGTGCCATTGCTGCTGGCTGGTGGCGGGGATGAGCTGGCTGACGGATCCAGGCTGGACACGGCGACAACGCCACCGATTCTAGAATTTGGATGGTTGTGGAATCGAAGGCGCTGCATGCCTACGCCTACCCGCGCCAAGAGTTGAACCTAAGCCTAACTCCTTACCGAGACTCTCTTATGGTCGGAGTGGGAATTTGTTTCGTCACGTCACTAGGAATTTCAGGAGTTGTGGATACCAAGAAAAACCCAAGGAATCGGTTCCCCCCTGATAATGCAAAAGGTCTCAAGAAATTTCAAATAAAAATCCAATAAATTCAAAATCAAGCCTAAACGAGTCTGGCCAACCCCAAAATCTCAGGCGCCAAAAGCAAAAATGCCCACCCTAATCACGGGGATACGGTAGCCTGGGGGGCAGCCGAACGACGACGAGAGGCACGAAATACGAGGGACGGCTTTGATGATTTGACAGCGGCAGCGGTCGTCGGCTTGAGCCCTGGGCCCCAGGAGCGGCCCTCCGAGATCCCCTGGAGATGATCCGCGGCTGATCCCCGGCTTGCCGAACACGTCTTCACCGCTCCGCCGAATAATCTGCCCCGCCTTCCCTTGCTCCGCCGGGATACCGTAGTCGTAAGCCCCGCGGCCGGGGATTAACTGTATATAGCCGACGCACAGCCGTCGACTTGACTCAGGAGACGATCAACGATTTTTGGAGGGAATCTGGAAATTTTCATTTTTTTTTGTAAAACTGAATTTCTGAGAGCGAACGATAAAGTGAAAAAAATCGATAAAGGGACAAATTCGAACATATTGAAATCTAGAATAAAATACCCGTTAATCTTTTAAATTGGTTAATAGCAAAAAAGAGAATTTTTGAGAGCGAAAGACCGGCCGAAGAAAAATTGATAATTTCTAATTTCAAAAAATATTCTAAAACATAGAGCCAATATCACATAATTTTATTAATTTGTATAACTTACTGAAAATTTGGTTAAATTTAAAATTAAAATGAAAAATGAAAAATTTTTTTTTTTTTTTTTTTTTTTTTTTTTTTTTTTTTTTTTTTTTTTTTTTTTTTTTTTTTTTTTTTTTTTTTTTTTTTTTTTTTTTTTTTTTTTTTTTTTTTTTTTTTTTTTTTTTTTTTTTTTTTTTTTTTTTTTTTTTTTTTTTTTTTTTTTTTTTTTTTTTTTTTTTTTTTTTTTTTTTTTTTTTTTTTTTTTTTTTTTTTTTTTTTTTACGAAACAATTCGAATTGAAAGACAAATACGAAAATTCGAGGTTGTTCCGCAATTTACGAAATGTGTAAAAAAAAATGTTTTAAAGCTGCTCAAAGCATATTTTCCGCCGAAAATTTGAATTATAAATGAGCTAAAAATTCTAATTTGTCCTGCTTTTTTAAAGAAAATGATCCCCAAAAGTGCAAGATTGCGCCAATAAAAAAGATCCGGACAACGCGCGACGGAAAGCCAAAAGCGCGCTTCTTGCCTTATCAGCCCCTTTAACAATAAGCCACAAACTACAAGCTACAACTCAACGAAAAACCTAAATTTTATTCGAAATTCTGACACCGCAAACGCAATTCTCGTGGGGGTCAGCAATTTCGCCGCAACCGCGATACGTAACGCGACACAACGCAACGTAAGCGTGTGCCCATCCATGATGCCTTGTAACGTCCGCTAACCACAAGCTACAGGCTACAGCTCAACCTAAAACCCAAATTCTGTTCGAAATGCTAACGCCAAAAAGTCATTTCTCGTGGGAGTCCGTCAATTTGGTCGCGCTGAGCGATGGAAGGCCAAAAAAGGGGGCGCCTGAAAATTTCGCACCCAAAAATTCGTAGCTGGGGCAGGTGATTAGCGAGAGAGACTGGACCCGGTTGTAATTGTTGCCCTCCAGGGGGGCCTTTCAATTTTTGAGTTTCCATAGGAACTCTATTTGACGGCCAATAAGGACAGCAGAGCCAGCACAGCTAGCAGATAAAAAGGGCTCGCGGCTGGGCACCGGCTATTCTTTTGGGGGCATTGAATAGGGAGCAGGAGGAGGAAGAGGACAGCGGATTTCCTTTGACCATAATATCGGTACGGAAAACAAAAGGGAAATATTTATAACGTTTCTTGAAAGGGGAAAAGGCCGAAATACCGAAATTTAAATACCGAAATGCCAAATTCTCGACGACCAAATTCCGAGCGGCTAAAATGCCGACATCCGAAACCCGAAGGCGATAATACCGGCACGCAAAATAGTGCCGTCCAAAAAATCCCGACAGCCAGAATCCCGATAGCAAAGATACCGACACTCGAAATTCCCGATAGCGTAAATACCGACACCCAGAAACCCCGAACATTTAAAATACCGAAGGGAAAAATACCGACGGAATTCCCGGTATTTAAAATCCCGCCAACAAAAATGCCGACAGCTAAAATCCCGACAGCCGAAACCCCCGAGAGCCAAAATCGGCTCAATTTCCTTTCAGTCAAAGTTCTGAGATACAGAATCCCGACATTCGAAATCCCGACATAATATTCGAAACTACCGACATGCAATCTGCACCGGCAAAATTTTCAAATTTTCCCGCTACCAACGAAACGCAAATGACCAAAAACAAGTCTACAGCCAAAAATTGCCCCCGGCAACGCAATAAAGTGCCCTCCACCTGCCGGGGCTTCACGTGAAGCCCCAAAAATGTTAATAAAGGAAGTGTGGCGGAGCGTTGGGTGCTTTGTCGAGAGTCTAGTACCAATTTTTGCGGTCAAAAGATCGTGAGGATTGCGCAAGGATAAAGGGAATGCCGATGTAAAACACAAAACGAACGACCATAATCCGGACAAAAATACCGACACCTTAAATAACACCGCCAGCTTAATGGGATACCGACAGCTTAAAAAAACTGCCAAATACTCAACATTTCGACAGTTTAAATAATACCGACCGTTCAGGATAACGGGAAGCTGAAAATGCCGACAGCTTGATAGGCGGTACTAAACAATACCGACAGCTTACTATGCTAACCACACGAACTAGAAAATGCCGACAGTTCAACTAATATCAGGACCACATAGATACAGTGAAAAAAACGGTAGTTTGAATAAGATAGCCTACTAAAAACCTCGACAGTTCAGAATGCTGTAAGGATAGTAATACTAGAGTGTCGGCATTTTCGCGATTTTCTTTCCGCCGACATTTCCGGAAGCTGCCGGCATTTTCTGACAGTCTTTTTCGCAATTTGACGGTTGCAATGTTCGATATCCCCTCACTCTCCATCAAGTTCTCCATTCATACTCTCAATCCAAAACTTGCCCCCTTCTTCGGCTGTATTAATTTCCGTTTTCTACTTCCCGGCTATTCCCAAAAGAGGTGTTGTGCCCACCCAGGTTGAGCCGTGAGCCAGCCACCCATCTCCATGCCAACAAGGCAGGGCGAAACCGAGAAAAATGATTTTGAGAAGAGCCTCGGGACCTGGGCCCTCATCTGGGCCCCCGATGGGCCCTAATTCCGCGCGCTTGGCTTGACAGATCCGACGATTTTGAATCTGCTACCGCAACTTAAGCCCTAAGAAGTGCTCAATTTTCTATGCTTATCCCGGGGAATTCTCGTGGATTATCTTTGGGAATTATCGAGGTCCTAAAATCGCTCTGCCATCCGCAGGCCATGTGGCTGTATTCTAGACTACAAATTCTGATCTCGTTCTGATGTATTCCGAAATTGTGGGATAGGTAAGGAAGTTAAATTTGAGGGGCCCGATCAATTTAGGCCAAATCCCGAAAAGCAAAAAATGGCTAGAAAAATCCCGACAGCCCAAATTCTGACAGGCGAAATACCGACAGGCAAAAAAATCCCGGTATTTCAAATCCCGACAGCGAAAATCCCGGCGGTCCAAAACCTGACATGAATCCCGACAACCCAAATCCCGTGATTCAGAATCTGAAAAGTCGGTAATACCGACAGCGAAAATCCAGACAGCTATAATGCCAAAATTGAGAATCTCAAAAAAGAAAATCCCGACAGGGAAAACCCAAAAACATAAAATCCCGACAGCCAAGATCCCGAGAGCAAAAATCCCGTTACACAAAATACCGACAAGACACCAACTTACTAGGGAAGTGCAAATAAAAAACCCAGCAAACCGCTTAGCAAAAATATGGGTCTGATAGAGTCGGCGACCGGGATTCCGAAACTGCAATCAGAATTTGCTAAACGCTTAATACAAAATAGTTATGAGCATTTTAAGTTTTGCACTACATTCGCCGCCCTCCCTTATGAGCCCCTCCCAAAGATGGGTGTCCGCCTGTCGAGTGGTGTAGTGGCTAACTGGCATGCCTCTGGGGCGGAGGGTCTCTGGTTCGACTCCCCGGTCATGCAAAACTTTTTGCTTTTTGGTCAAAGTCAACAACTTTAGACTTTTTCAAGGTTTCGAAGTCGAAAAGGTCGTTCTCTTAATTTTTAAATTTATGAAACTGATTGCAAAGTGGTGGCGGGAGTGTCAGTACTCTTGCGGATAGGGCACTAAAAATTCACCTCTATTTTTTCGTAAGGCAGGCCTAGACGCAGTCAATAAAAAAGAAAATTTTACAAAAACCTAAATTTCGGACTTCGAAACTTTGAAAAAGTCTAACGTTGTTGACTTTGACCAAAAAGCAAAAGGCTTTGCATGACCGGGGAGTCGAACCAGAGACCCCCCGCCCCAAAGGCATGCTAGTTAGCCACTACACCACTCGACGGGCGGACACCCATCTTTGGGAGGGGCTCATAAGGGAAGGCGGCGAATGTAGTGCAAAACTTAAAATGCTCATAACTATTTTGTATTAAGCGTTTAGCAAATTCTGATTGCAGTTTCGGATCCCCGGCGCCGACTCTATCAGACCCATATTTTTGCTAAGCGGTTTGCTGGGTTTTTTATTTGCACTTCCCTAGTTAGGAGCCCGTTGGGAAATTCAGCCGTCGGGATCTTCGCTTTTCCCCGAGCCGCTACATACTTTAACGTCCCCTTTAGCCCCCAGTAAAGTATCGTTACCCGCTCTGTAAAATACCTGCAAGCCTCCCCCGATGGCAGTACCACTTCTGCGCCGCTGTCCAGGAGACGGTCCAAAAGTGGAACTCCCGTCGGGGGACGATGCGCGAGAGATTTGTACGCAACCCGCGACACGCCACGCTTTTGCTTGGGATAACGTTACAAGCGCTTGAGTGCGCGTCGCGTTATCACAAGACGACGAGCCGCGGGCACGACTAGACGTTTTAGGGAGCCATAGCGGGCAGAATCCTTGGTATAATGCGAAAATATGCAATTTTAAAATAAGATAACCATAATTTAAAACAGGGCTAAGATGTATAATCTTAAATTTATAAAAGCCTGAGCGGAAGCTTCCGATCTAAAAAAATAGGAAACCAGAAAAAGGGCCAGCTGCGTGTCTAGTGCGTGTGTGTTGTGTATTTAATGGTCAGCCGGGCGGAAAGCCGTTTTCCCGGAGCGGTAGAGAGAGAGAGAGAGAGAGAGAGAGAGAAACGGCTGCCAAAAATGGCCCTCTTCCTAGCAACACCTCTTTTTGCAACAACCCAAACACCCATAAGTGGATTTTATGGACCAAAATCTAAATCTGGGGTCGTTGGAGCTCTGGCTGGTTATAACTTTAAAACTCATAAGTCAAAGCCTAGGCCTCAGTCCGAACCAAAGTAAAGCTAAGGTTATGCTTAAGCCTAAGCCTAAGGTAAAGCTAAGCTATACCTAAGCCTGAGCCCAAACTCAAGCCTACGCCTAAATCAGAATTTAAGCCAAAGCATAAACCTGTGCTTAAGCCTAAACCGAAGCCTACGCCTAGGCCTTAGCCTAAGCCAAAAATTAAGCCTTAGCCGAAGCCTAAGCCTAAGCCAAGCCTACGTGAACGTTCAACTTGAATGTCCATGCAAAAACACGAATGCAGTACGAAAACCCGCATAAAAATTGGGAGCCTATCATTGCGCGTGGCGGGACCACCCTGCCGATTTTCTCCCCCTCTCCCCTTCCATAAAATGCTAGGTTATGACGGAGCCGCGCGGAAAATGGGTGCCCCTTATGACGAATGGCCAATGTGGAGATGAGAGAGAGAGAGAGAGAGAGAGAGAGAGAGATAGAGAGAGCTTTTTCCAGCCAGATTCTATTGTTGAAAATGGTTTGGAACGCGGCAATCTTAAGATTAGCTGGAGTGACTCACGCTGTTCTTTCACCCTGGGGGTGCAATCCAGGTTTGAGGGTGAATCAGAAAATATGTCAGACTCCAACAAGGCAGGACAGGCTAGCAGAGATCATTTGGGAAAAAAATTATGAAAGGCTCAAAAACTTTAAACTTGGACCCGAACACCGTTTATCTAGAGGCCTTGGTAGATGGCAAGCTAGCCAAGAAATTTGAGAAGCGTGTCGGAGCGAATGAGAATTTTCCGGATTTTATTGTTAGCAAAAATCATTTAGGAAGAGTCGGGCTAGTAGGGCCATCGTAAAAGTCTTTTGGGTTCGGTTGGTGGTCTAGGGTATATGGTAGGCCAGCAGTGGATGCCTTGGGAAATACCGTCTGCGTGGCTGCTGGGACGATTCAAAATAGATCATTTCGAAAGAATTTTGGAAGCTGGGGAATGCTAGCAGTGATTTTTAAACCAAAAAAAGCTGGTTTTAGCAGTTTACAGAAAGGTTTGCTAGCCTTTAAAGAGGCACTGAAGGTAAATCCCGTTAATCGAGTTCGGCATAAATCTATGTACTAAAATTCCGCCATTTTTCCCTTCATAGTCCCTTTAAAAAATCGAAAATTTCCCGAAAATAAATGTAGATTTTGCGAAACGCCCACCAAACCGGGTCGACAGCCTGTGGAATGTGCCGCATGGGCAAAAAGGACATCTCCGCGGCCCCAAAAATGCCAAAAACATCCCCGTCTTGCCCTTTCACACAGCTGGACATGCGAACCGAAAAAGAATGGGTCGACTTGGGCGGTAGAGTAGGGGGTAACGGAATGGGGCGGGAACTCGTTCCCGAATGTCCTCCCTTTTCGGCTTCTCGAAACGAACCATTGTCTCTTCCGGGTGGGGGGCAATGTGGACAGGGAACGGAATAACAAGATTCATGGTAGGTTACGCGCATTCACGCATTAATGACACCGGTCTAAGGAAACGTCTCTCTAGCTCTTTCTCTCTCACTCTCTCTTGCTTTCTCTCTCTCTCTCTCTATCTCTCTCTCTTTCACTCTCTCTCTCTTGCTACAAGCCACCATGCCAAATGGCCTATTTTTCCAAACAGTCAAAAGGCACGATAAGTACTCCTAGTCCTCGAGTTCACGCTGATCTCTAAGAACTATCTTGGCACGAGGTATTTAGCATTTTATCTGCATTAAAATATTAAAATTGAGCCCGCAAGTAATAAGCTAGCAGCATTCTTCGGGGAAACTTGGAGATTCGACAAAACTAGAACCCTTTAAGCTTTAAAGGAACAATGAAGGCAATGGTCGATGCCATTTAGAAGAAGAGTGAAATAGGGCAGACTAGCGGTTGGAAAAGCATTCGGAAAATCACGAAATCGGCGGCCAAGAAATTCAGTAAATAGGAGCCAACCGTGCAGAAAATCAAAAGTGCAGCCGGCAGACAGACCACCGGGGCTAGTTTCTTGTTGATGGCCGACTTTTTTGGGGGCTTGAACAAACTCTGGCAAATGGTTCAGAGGGCAAATTTGTTTGTCTGTCGATTGTTGGGTGTGCACCCGTTCCGAGTGAGAGAGAGAGAGAAAGAACGATCGAGATAAAGAGGTAGAGAGAGAGAGCGAGAGAGAGCGACAGAGAGCGCAAAGAAACCTATAGAGATACAGTGAGAGAGTGAGAGATTGAAAGAGAGAAGGAGCGAGAGAGAGAGAGAGTGAGAGAGAGCGAGAGCGAGAGAGAGAGAGAGCGATAGAGATAAAGTGAGAGAGTGAGAGAGAGTGAGAGAAACAAAGCAATAATGAGAGGGAACTCTACATCAAGCCCAAGATTCTAGACTAAATACATAATACGGACAAAGCGTAGGCTCGGAACTAGTCCTCCAACCGTCTAAAGGAGTGTAGTGGCGTGGCCGGTCCACCTGGAGGGGCAAATATGGGCAAATGTTTCAAATACTCACCTTCTCTCGCACTCTCCCTCTGCCTCTGCCTCACCCTCATGCTCCCCCACCGCATCCAGCACAACAATAGGGGCAATGCGCTTCGCCAAGGCTGTTTCTCACGCAGCTAGCACCACCTTCGACCCCAAATTGTGTAGATGGCTAATGTCTTTTTTGTTGAGGCTTCGTGGTGAGGGGGGAGCTGGAGGGAGAGGGAGGGCTGTAGACCATGCTAATCGACATATTGCAAGTATGGACTGATGTGGCTGACGTGGGGAAGAAGGATGAAGGAGGATGCGTGGATTTAGCTTGAAAAACCTAATTGATTCTCTCCCTCCCTATCTCTCTCTTTCTCTCTCTCTCTCTCTTTCTCTCTCTCTCTTTCTTCCGCTAACTCTCTGTGTCAGGCGATCTAGCAGCGATTATTTAGGAAAAAGCCTATGTCTTGTGGGATTCAAACATTTCGGCAAGCGAGCAGGGGTTCTTGCGGAAACATAGGTCCTAGAAAATCCTCATAGCGGTCCTCGAACGGAGTATCCCCGCGGAAAAGTGAAGTGTGTTCCTTTCCGGGCGGACGATCGGGATATAATTGGTGTCGACCGGTAGTGGACTTGCACTACCGGCTCCGGATCTGAACACGTTATTTGACGCCCCGTTCAAACACCATCATATGAAAGAATAGTCCGTAATTTATTCAGAAGCTGCTCCATAACGTGAAATTAAAGCGAAATCCGGTGAATTTGTGTACATTTGGTATTTAAATGGCGATCTGCTCGACCTCTTCGAGCACTCGATCAATTTGTGCAACGGCGGCCGTCCATTCTCGATCGTCGATGATCTGAAAATTCGGGATTTGGCTTCGAGGAGGTGCCTTTAGCAGCCTGAAATCGACTTGGAAGGCAATCCTCTCCTCTTCTCTCTCCCTCTTTCTCTCTCTCTCGTCTCTCTCTCTCTCTCCCTCTCTCTCTCTCTCTCTCTCTCTCTCTCTCTCTCTCTCTCTCACCTTAATATGGTCAACCAGCAAATCCTCATCAGTCTGCGCCTCCTGGTCTTTTTTCGAATCAAATGATGGGGATGCACTTCCCAGACCCTCGTCATCTTCTACGTACCGCATCGGGCGGCGCTCAACGATGTCGACACTAGAAAATAATCAGCGTTAGGCTCATTTTTATCCAATTCTCTATCACTCTCTCAATCTTTCTCTCCAAAATCACCTACCCCGCCTCGCTGGCCCCGCTGCTATCGTAGCCGCTGCTCATCTGCTGCGGGCTGTGCATACGGTGGCTGAGAGCGGTAGTGGCGCGGGTGTTCATCGTAGCTAAACGGAACTTTTGACATTGCTACGATAATTGTGGTCTGTATTTTTAGGGGATGAAATTCCCAAATTTCCGCGGCTAGCTCCGTTAACGGCTCAAAAATTTCCAGTTTTTACGGTTTTGTTTTGTGCCTCTACTTACTAGATTTCTCGGATTTTTGAAAACCATACTAACGTACTGATCTCAATCGGGCTGACCATCGCTGTACTCGCCGGACTCGTCACTCGCTGCTGCTCCGCGGCGCTTCTCCTCGACCTACCCGACTCTCGCTCTTTTCTCTTCCCTTTTACAAGATCTAGATCCTTGGATTACGGTATGCCGCTCTCAAATTACCTGACTGCGCGGAAAGCAACTTGGCTAAGTCGTGGTGCCCTCTCATCGATGCGATCGCCTGCGCCGCATGGCCGGCACTGTTCACCAACACTTTTTCTGCCCCGTTGTCGAGCTAAAAAAAGATTTTTTGGTTTTAAATCCGCAAGAATCACGGCAAGCTCGCCCTAACTCACCAAAAACACGGCGGCATCGTGGTGATTATTGATGGCGGTCAGGTGGAGTGGCGTGTTGCCGCGGGAGTCTCGAAGGGACAGCACTTGTCCCCGTTTTCGCTTTGACCACTCGCCGAGGAGCACTTGGAGCACGGGCACGGAGCCGGAGACTGAAAAAAATTTGATGATTTTTTTAAGGACGCTTGAACTAGCAGGGCGGAGCTCCGCTCGAGTCCGAACTGTTCAGGGGGCGCGCGTCAGCAGTAGCGATTTCGAGCCGTTCGAAGTTCGCGGATTTTCAACGGCGATTTCACGCTGATCAGCTGATGAACGAGAATTTCGAGCCGTTCAGAGGACGGGTGTGATCGACGACAATTTCGAGCCGTTCAGAGACCGCCGGTAATTGACGACGAATTTTGCACGGATCAGCGCGACAAATTTAGAAGGCCCGAACAAGACGCAATTACCGAAAAGAGAAAGAAACACCAGCCATAGAATGCCTACAAGGCAAAATCCCGACAGAACAGCGTCCCAAAGCATAGTTTAAGCTTTTATGCGTCGGAGCTCGGATTCGGGATTTTGGTTGTTAGGCATTTTGAATTGACGGAATTAAAAATGATGAGTTTTTCGTTGGCCGCGCACTTGCGGTTCCCTTAAAACCCACAAGCAGCACAATGCACGGCATTCGCCTGATCGTTCGTCGTCCACAACGCGGCATCGGGGCTCATCCTAGCCAGCAGCCATTTTGCGATATGGGCATGCCCGGCGAGACAGGCGATGTGTAGCAGGGATTGACCTGGAATTTCTATGTAGGTGGATAGGATGCTAAAGCGTGCGTTTGGGCACGTGCGTTTTCCATTTTGCGTACGGGCAACGACGTCCGTTTCCGTCCAGCCGGTGACAAGCTTTCGTATCTCGGCTTCTCGTTGTCCTACAGGGGTGTAAAGTTTACCAAAATGTTCGTCTCGGTCTGGCGAGTATCTTGGTATAATTTACGCCCCTGTAGGGCAGTGGAGAGCCGAGATACTTTAGGTCGGTCGGCTGTTACGTACCTCGATTCGACACAGATCCCATCTCCGAATGCGCCTTCTCCACCAGATACCGTACACTCGTCAGGCATCCGCCCTGGACAGCATATACACACGGAGTACAACCCAAAAGTTTTGATCAATGTTTTATACAGTAACCCCTACCAAATTCATCCCTGCAATTCACCATCTCACTGCTGTACTTGGTGACAATGCGGATGAACTCAATGTTTCCTAAAGGAAGACGAATTCGACGAGTTCAGCTTGTAGAAGACTCGACCTTCTAAGATTTGTTACCCCGTACTCAAATAGTGTTAATTTTATTAAGTAATTTTATAGAATCTCACGCTAAAATTCCGTCCATTTCTTACCTTGAGCTGCAGCGACATGGAGCGGAATCATCTGCGCCGAGTTTGGCACCATAGCGAGATTCTGCAAAGTGACAAATATTGAATTGACCAAACGTCATGAATTTTACAGGATTTTAAAATCACCTAACTTTATTTAAGTGCTTTTTGTCCAATTTTAATTTTTTTAAAATTTTGCATTTTTCCCACCTTTCCGAATCGCTTCAAAAGCCAGAATGCCATATCGTTGTCACCCCTGGCTACCGCTGCCATTAGTGCGCTCGTGCCGTTGACGTCGCTATAATTTGGTGGTTATGCCAAAAACATTTATAGGCTTTAAAAAAATTGTTAAATTAATTTACAAAGTAAAAAAAACTAAAAAGCTACAAACTACACCCACTGACCGATGCATGGCCATCTTGGCGGCCTCCTTGTTGCTGCCGAGCAGCAACACCTCGAGCACCGGCATCTGGCCGACACCGGCGGCGATTGTGGCAGGGATTTCTCCTAAAAATTGCCGTTTAAGCTCACTTGTCGGTGACAACCCACCAATATTCGAAGAAACATCCCGCAGCTCCGGGATGGCCGAGCAGAAATATCTGAAAATCGGGATTAGCTCTCTCTATCACTCTCTCTCTCTCTCTCTCTCTCTCTCTCTCTCTCTCTCTCTCCCTCTGCCTTTCCTCTCTCTCTCCCTCCTCTCTTCTCTCTCTCCTCTCCTCCCTCTCTCCCTCTCTCTCACTCTCTCTCTCTCTCCTCTCTGCTCTCTCTCCCTCTCTATCTTCTATCTTTCTATCTATCGCTCTAATTTTCTACCCCCTTTCAACTTTGCAACTTCTTAAAACCCCGGCAAACACGAAGCCCTCCAAAAGCTGCCGAAATTTTGCGCCGGCAAACAAATGTTTGTGCTAATATTGGCCAGCGGCTGTGCAGGTTGTCGATCGGAATAGTGTCAGGGTGGCAGGCAGGGGCTCTACCTACACAAATAATCGACATACCCAAGGCACAAACACAGCCCCTTGGTAATACATACAAAACGCCGGAGAGCTGCAAAGAACGCAAAAATTAAGTGGAGCTCCAAAAGGACTCCAAATTCGGGACCCTACAAGGCATTCCGTTCCGATTCCACCTGCACAACCCATACGCGGCCTCTCGCTCCCATTATTTACCGTACTGATCAAAAAAGGAAGCGCCCCCCCTTCTGGCGGCTTTTTGGCGCCTTGGGAGAAGACCGGCCCCGGCATTCTACCCTCTTTTGGTCCCTCCGATGCGATTCGATTCATTCAGATTCGTCCCAATATTTGGGGCTGCTACCGCCGGGTGGGGGTCCAAAAATTGGGCGCAGCCGCCTGGAAGCTGTGGGCCCTACGGATCATGGGCTATAAACCCCGCGATCAAACATGCCCCGCTGGAGATTCTAGTTTGATCGAAGCTTCGGCGGGGATCCTAATGTTTTAGGGGTTTTTAGAGGGTCTAGGAAGTCAAGAAAAAGTGTTTGAAATAAGCTAGCCCTCACTTTAGTATCTATAGAGCTGCTATTTAATTTACGACATTCTAAAGCCAATGTGCTACATCATCTACCACTTTTCCACAATCCCCGCTACGTCACGACGGTGATGTGGAATATAAAGAAGGGATCGTGGTGGCGGACTTCCTGCCACCACCGGGGGCAGGTGTCAAATTGCACTTGGAGGGGATATGGATACCTACCGGGCATCCACTACCCAAACGAACGGCTAGAACATGACCGAAGAAGGCGGGAAAAAGTACTCCTCCTCTCTCGCCCTCTCTCTCTCTCTCGCTGCCGCTTTCTCGCCGCCAACAGAAAGCCAAAACCACCCACTTGACCGCCTCCAGGTTAGACAGCTTGGCCGCGATGTGCAGCGCCGTCTGGCCGTGCACGTCCCGCTTCTTCAGCTCGTCCCTCGTCATTAACTCGACGCAGTTCATGTGTGCTTTTTCGAGCTGAAAATGTGCTTTGCTTAGATTTCTTCTAGTTTCCGGAACACGTCTACAAACTTGCTTGAATCGAGAGAGCGAGAGAGAGGAGAGAGAGAGAGCGAGAGAGAGAGCACGAACCGCTGTAAAAACATCTGCACAACATCGTATCGACTGGTCGCCGGTGGGCGCCGGCGTCTCCATGGCGTTCGGCAAATCGCTAAATTTTAAAAATGAATTTTATATGGAAAACGGGCCAATAAAATAAGGAACTGGTAATGATAACGTTTAATAAACAAAACGAAAAACTGCTCAGCAAATCCTCCCGAAAGAAGCTCAAAAATTTCAATTCTGGCTATCTAAAATCAGGAATCCCCACGCGAAAATTAAAATCTGAGTGAAATCTGGTTAAAATCAAAGGAATCTTTTCAACTACCGAAAATTTCAAGGGTCCCGCGAAACTGAATTCCCGCCCCTGCCGAACATGCAAATAAACAAACTCGAGCCACTTGACGCGCAGCGTGACCTCGTCGAGTTGGCGCTTCGAGACGCGAACCTCCATTTCGATCGAATTTTCGGGGGACAGGGTTTGATAGATTTCCCGATTTTTAACATCCCGGTACCCCTCTAAAAATAATGGGGGTCCTTTTTGGATCGCACGGCGAGAGTCGAAAATCCGACATAAATCGGGTGCGGGGCGCAGCGAGGGTCAGCTCGCCACCGCGGCCTGGGTGGTAAATAGAAAGGGTTTTTCGGGGGATGGGAGGAGAGGCTGATTGGCCATTCCGATTGATGACACACAACACTCGACTATCGTCCGATTCGCCGTCGCGAAACGGCCAGCCAGCCGATGGCCGCGTTTTTGAAGATTGGAGATGGGCCAGCAGCTAGCTATATGGAAAGATGAAAGAATGAACCCCAAGATCCCGACAAATCAAAATGCCGACAAGGCAGTTCCTTACAAACAATATCCTTACGCGTCGACATCCCGACAGCTCGAAATACCTACAGTCAAACTCCTGAGATATCAATATCCTTACAGAAAAAATGCCGACACGCCCAATATACCCAGTTTAACCATGCCTAAATCCCGACAGTTCAAAATGCCGACAGATAAAATGCCGACAAGCCATTTTCCCTACAGCCAAAATCCTTACGCGTCGAAATCCCGACAGCCCGAAACACCGACAGCCAAAGAACACGACAGCTAGAATGCCGACAGCCAAAATCCCCCAGGCGAAATCCCTGGTTAAAACCCGAAAAATTAGCGGCAGCCAAAGTAGCGGCAACCCGAAACACCGAAAGCCAAAATGCCGAAAGCTAGAATCCGTTTAAAAGGAAAATTAGCGTCAAGAATATGGCTGGATTCCTGTGAATTATTCTTAACATTTTCGTTAAAAATTGCCGCCGAGCATGCTCAGTTTCGAATCTGGCGCTTAGAAAAGTCTTCCTTAATTTAATACAAAATCAATAAAAGGCTAACTTAAAGTTCTTTAAGTAACGATAAACAAAGGGCCCAATTGGGGGGCTCCCGGGTAGATGTCAATTATGAGGGGGGAGAAGTGTCGAGAAAGGAGAGGGGGAGGGGCCGGGCCTGAAGCCATTGTCTCTCTCTCTCTCTCTCTCTCTCTCTCTCTCTCTCTCTGTATGTCTTCGGCAAACCTTTGGCGGAGATGACAAACAGCTACGGCCATTCCGTTGTGGGGTGGTGTGTGCGCTTCGATGGACTCAAGCATTTACCTGTCGGCATTTACTGTTGAGGAGGGAGCTAGAGAGAGAAAGAGAGAGAGAGAGAGAGCGAGAGAGAGAGAGGGACAGAGCGAAAAAAGCGTAAAATATTGTGATATCCATCCGATTTTCCCTATTATTATAATCTTTATTAATAAATACACATCTATCCAAAGAACGGATTTTTCCTGTTTGCCCGCTTCTCCATTTTGACGCGTCGCTTGAGCGATGAGTCGTCGGCGGGCACCATTTTGATGGCCTGGATCGGGATCCCTAAATTGGTTTTGGATACTTATAGTGGTACTAATGGAGTATGACGTTTTTAAGGTGTAATACGAAATTTCTGCTCGTTTCCCACTTACGGACTGGACACGTCGACCTCGGGATGTAGATGTTCATGTAGGGGGAGTAGATTGGGCTTGATCGGGCGTCAATCTCCTCGTAGAGCTCGCAGGTGAACACCTGACGGCCACCGCTCATACCGTAGACCACGGCCTTGCAGCGCTGAAACGAGGAAATTGATCAACTTCACGAACTCGATGGAGCAAGAGAGAGAGAGAGAGAGAGATATAGAGAGAGAGAGAGAGAGAGAGAGAGAGAGAGAGAGAGAGAGAGAGAGACGGAGAGAGAGAGAGAGCAAGAGAGCGAGAGAGCGAGAGAGCGAGAGCGAGTGAGGTAGAGATAACCATATGTTCAAATTCGGAGACCATTAATGCGTTTAAAGGGCCTGACAACCTTGTCGATCAGACATGTAGCCAAGCATCTATCCTCTGTACTGTCATATCCATTCAGTGCCATGGCATATGGTTTGATCGGTATCCGCATATCTCGATCGGTATATTCCACAAAACAACGGCACAATCGGCAGGGTAGCCCGAAGTGATCTAAAGAAATTCTAGAGCGTTTTTGCTTTTAAAGGGCCAATGAAGTCTCAATTTTGTCCTGGCAATTTCTTGAATTTTAGTACTGCATCCACAACGAAAGGTTTAAAGAAACCAAATATATTGGTTTTGTTCTTGTAATAAAATGCTTAACATCAAATCATCATTAAACACTAAAATTAATTAAATAATTCATATGAGATGATAAGTACATTGTTAAAAAGTGTCAGTATTTACCGTGACGGAAATTTTTATTTGATTTATCTTAATTTTAATTGTTATATTTATTAACATTATTAAGTTTAAAAGCAACTCTTTTTAAAAAGCTATGATTAAAAATTAGTATAACTTGAAACTATAATATTATAGCTATCCAATATATCAATACAAACTTACTATCCCTCGCCGCTACAGCGGCAAACATGGCCAAAAAGATCAAGAGCATTTTCCAAGTTTTCCCGAGTAGAAAATACAGCTCTAAGGAGGTGAGGATGATAGGTCGAGGTGATGATCACTGGGATCGAGTCAGACTCCCCTCTCGAAGCTGCTCCCCGCCCCAAATCAAGCTGGTTTTTCTGCCCATCCCCCCTAAGGGGGGTCAGATGTTGTCGTGTGCTGACCGCAAAAATGGACTCCCGCTGCTGCGGATCCGGAATTTTTATTGCCATCCACCGCTCGGGACATCCTCTAGAGGGGGTGATAAGCACTTTATCGGAATGTCGCGAGACCGGATGGCCGACGATTATCATATCGTATCATGTCGAGCCGTGCGGCATGGCAACAGGAAAAAGCTGAGTGGCAAAGGGAGAATGCGGTGGGCGTTTTATCGTAGTTTTGGTATCGAAATTCTATGTTTGAAGGTTAGTAAAATTTTACTATTTTTAATGGTAAAAATTATCCAATACGTTGAAAAATTTTTAATTCGAAATTTATTCGAAAATTCGCTAGTTTTTGTATTTTTGATAAAAATTTGTATTTATAAATAAAGTTTTTTGGCGCTTAGCGGAATGGGAATAATAAAAAAGTTAGTAAAAGCGCAGGGGGGTTTTCAAAATGTCAGTTCAGAATGTCGAAATTTATGTACAGTAGCGGACAAAAGTATTGGGATTTTCTATTTTTGACAAAATCTCGGGCGATTTAGCTCGAGGTGAGCTCAAAAGTTGGTCCCTAGTAGAATTCGAGATGCTTTTTCATATGTAATGTGTTAAAACCGGCAATTCCATAGTACAAGAAAATTAGGAAAAAATTTCAAAAAGATCGACGACAAAAGTATTGGGATTTTTCTTTCTGAAGCCTAGAAACGAGCAGGTAACTCGTGAGTCTTTTATTGATGCAAAAGCGCCAACTACTGCTGAAATTTGCTTTTCTCATAGGCGATTCCATCTTGGAAGCGCTGAGGAATTTTTTTGAAAATCTCGATTTTGATATGAAAATTTGCTTTTTTGCCTATAACTCTTTGAATATAGTTTTAATGCCAGTTTGCTTTATATATTCGGATAGAGCACTTCAGGGCGAACATTTTCATATTGCATAGTCCATAGGTTTCGCGTGCCCCGCAGATAGAGACGGCCCAGTTCTTGTTGTGGGGTTGGTGGGGTCCTTTCCATAGATAGGGCCCCTACAAACGCCGCCGACGTGAAAACTGGGCCCTACGCAACTCTGCGTGGGCGTGTTTCCCAGTGACTATAGCATATCAAAATGCTCGTCTTAAGCTGCTCTATCGGAATATATAAAGCAAACTGGCATTAAAACTATATTCAAAGAGTCATAGGCAAAAAAGCAAATTTTCATATCAAAATCGAGATTTTCAAAAAATTCCTCAGCGCTTCCGGGATGAAATCGCCTATGAGAAAAGCAAATTTCAGCTGTAGTTGGCTTTTGCATCAATAAAAGATCTACGAGGTTACCTCTCGTTTCTAGGCTTCAGAAAGAAAATCCCAATACTTTGTCGTCGACCTTTTGAATTTTTCCTATTTCTTGTACTATGGAGTCGCCGGTTTTAACACATTGCATATGTAAAAGCATCTAGAATTCTACTAGGGACCAACTTTTGAGCTCACCTAGAGCTAAATCGCCCGAGATTTTGTCAAAAATAAAAAATCCCAATACTTTTGTCCGCTACTGTATGTTACTTTTCCTCGGAAAATCGCTGGGGTTCCGAACGAAAAAAGGCAACGAAACGGCTCGATGTGCATGGTACAGAAACCGCAAAAATTTAGCCAAAAACAAAAATTACAATTACCGGCGGTGATCCTAAATCACAAAATCAATTTATTTTCTTGGGACCCACAAAAAAATTGCGAAAATATGCATAATTTCGATAGTCGGGCTAGTGCTCGTCGTCGCTCTTGTACGGGCCAATGTAGAACTCCTTGCTGCGCTCCCGTTCTTTCGGCGGTCCCGGCTGAAATAAGCAAAATTGATCACTAACAGAACCGCGTAAGTAGTTGCCAAATGTAGCGCTAGTTTGGAAACCGGATCAATCTTCGAAATTGGGCATTTTGAAGAGAAGCCTTGGGTTGCGTTGACCTTGCGTGGATCAGAAATGACCATTCGAAACGCCCGCACACAGTTTGAGTGTTCTTTGTAACGTAGCATAGTCCAGACAAAATACGCCTATCTACGCCCCCAACCCTGTGAGCTTGTCTATGCTTTAATTCATGCTCTATTTACCGTAATCGATCTCTCCTCCGGCGGGTCGTCAGGTTTTTGACCGGTTTCCGGCGTGTCCTCCTCGGTTCGCTCGCTCCTCTGATCTTTGTCTAATTCCGTTTCCGTCGTGTCAATCGACTCCTCGGCTATTGAGCCCTCGCCGGTGATCGCGTCCTAGATATGGACAAAATTGGTTAATTTTAATAGATAGTATTTACCATATCAATGCGCTCTATTCTCGTATTAATTAGCACGAAAATTAAAGCCGATTAGACTGACCAGCTTCTCCTTGAGTTGCTGCAAATGTTGTTTGGCCTGCTGCATATGGACGCTTTTCTTGCGGTTAAGCTGAAAAGGGTAGATTAAACGGCTGCAAGCACGGCATATAAAATGGAGGTAAAGCGGTTAAAAATAAGCTAATTCTGACCTCATCCTCGTCCTCCTCGATGACATTGTCGAGCACGTGGTGCATGAAGTCTTTGGCTCGGATGTTGGCGCCTGAATTTACATTTGAATTTGTCTGTACTACCTTAATTAGATACCTTATGATGCCTTAACAACCTGTAATGACAAATCCATCCGGTTGATTAGCTTTTTAAAACATACCAGACTGTGATCGACTTGGCCTTCCCTCATCGCTTTTCGCCGGGGTGTCGAGCTCTACAAAAATGGCATCTTAGTGTTTGAATACGTGGTTTGAGAGTGAATTGAATTTGAATGCGTTGCGGTCGCGCCGCGTACTGTCCAATTTGAGCGTACTCGTGACGCGTAGCGCAAATTCGCTGCCAAACCAAGTGTTTCAAGGCTAAATTCTGAGTTTCAATACCTTTAGATCCATAACGACATTTTTACGATTTGCTATCAGCTAGCCAAAATTAATTTTATCGAAAATCGGTGAAAATCCGGTTTTGTCGACATTTATTTATTGCAACGGCAGAAAATCGAATTTTCAGCATATCGACATTTTGGCAAAGTGAAATTTCGACAATATGAAATTTAAAAAATGATTTTCGATAAAATTCGTTTCGAAAAATTAGTTTCAACAAAATACAAATAACCCCGTTCCCACCTTCTTCCACGTTATACACCGTATTAACCGGAGCGCTAATCTGTGCGGTAAGCGGGTTTTTCTTGGCTCCTGTTTCCATATCTTCCAGCTGGGTGGCCGAGATCGACTTCACCGGGGCGGGCTAGAAGTTTTTTCTCTTTTCTGAGGCCAGGCCCTCAAATTTTAATTTTTGTCTAGATAAAATGAAAAATTTTTCAAATTTGCCTTACCGTTCCCCCATCTTCGGTCAGCTTACTCTTGCTGAACGACCTGAAAAAACGGATTGCAGATCTTCGCAGCTTTAAAGGGATAGGAAATGCCAGAATCGACGCCTTCTGTCGACTGGCTTTCGACAACTGCGCGGCATCCAAACACGGCAGCACGAAATTTAAACGATCTTCGGGATGTTAAGCATAGACCGTTATCGAAATAGATTGGCGTCATTTGGTGTCATACGTAGCTGTCGAGACCCAGCCGAAACCAGGGTAGATGATCGCACTTTCGACCCCCTTAAAACCCTCACCTCTCCACTTTTCGCTTGATATTTCCGAACACTTCAGTGGCCGATAGGGAAGAACGTCTGCTGGCGCGTGTTTCATCTCTAAAAGTACAAACACTCTTTTGATAAATAAGTTGAATTATGCTCTGTATTTTGGGTTCTTTAGGATTTCCGGGGGGAACCAAATTTTTCCTGGTTTTCCCGGTCGACCTAGTAATCAAATATAAAGTGTTTTCACATTGTTTTTAGTAAATTTTAACTATATTTAAAGTAGAAAAACCTTTCAAAAAAAGTTAGAAAAATGTTTGAAAAAGTCGAAAATTTAGTCATTTTGGGTCTTCCCCCCGCTAATCCTAAAGGTTTTATAGGATTTTTCGACCTAAAATTAAATTTTCTAATTAAAATGTGTGTAGTTTTTATGCTCAGGACTAGTTAAAAACCATTTAGAAACGCATGCGCTATTTAGAAAAAAATTTAGGCTTGGGCCGAAAAAATTTGGTTTCCCCCCCCGGAAATACTTTTCCCCCCCCCCCGGGAAATCCTAAAGAACCGTATTTTGCGATAATTTTGGTTATTTTTAAGGGTAATATCGGGCCGTATTATTGGAAACTACCGTTTGACCGGCACCACGCTGACCCGTCGACGTAACGTCGGCGATTCCGGATCCTTATCATCTGCCAGCGGCACCATCCGGATCTCTTGCACATGGTCGGGCAGCCTGGAAGAGTGCCAAGGTTATCATCTCTCTCACTCATCTCTCTCCCTCTCTCCCTCTCTCTCTCGCTTTGATACCTAATTTGACTAGCCGATCCACGAAGGCTTGGCTGAGGAATTTTCGCCGTCTCTTCGGAATACAACGGCTCGAATTCCTCATCCCAGAATGGATCCCGGCGAATCTCAGGTGGCCTATTGTAGCCCTGATCCACGATCATCAGTCCCATCTAAAACTCGAGATTAAATTACAGAAACGACAAAATTACGGTAATATTGCGGTCGATGAGGGCGTTCGTCTCGAAGTCGTCGTCGTCCTCGCCGAACGGGTTCAGCATCGCCTCCGCCACCTAGAGGAGTCAAATTCTTAGTATTTATGGAGCCGCTCACCTTCATCCAGCCCATATAAAAAATAAATTGCAGACTGGACATGATCGGAAAGTAGAGATCGAGCTGAAAAAATACGGAATTTCGAGAGAGTATCGTATCGGAACTTTTGCTACCAGCCTTGACCGTTCTACATTTCTGCTTTAAAGCTTCTCCTGTATCCAAAAATGTAAAAATCTTGCAAAATCCATAGCCATAGCGTCTGGCACAACCCTTTAACCACCAAACACACCTCAGTTTTATTCGTGGCGTGTTCAGAGATGATATACTGACGCGATAGCACGCATACGAGGAAATACGTATGGACGGCGAGACAGACGAGCTGTGGGTACATTATCGGAATTGGGACCCAGTCGTAGTTGCAAATCCAGGCGAGACCCGTTCGGAATGTTTTGATTTCCTGAAAAAAGGCAAATAGATATTTTTCTCCTCCCCCCCTCCTCTCTCTCCCCCTCTCTCTCTCCTCATGTCTCTATTCTCTCTTTCTCTCTCCCTCTCTCCCTCTCTCACTTGCTCTCAAACAACCCACATTCGTGACGCAAACTTGATAGTAGTCGCTCTCAATTAGCCCCTTCTTTCTCGCATCATAAGTCAAGGCTAATGCCCATTGAAACGGAAGCCAATATTTCGAATACCGGTACTGGATCTCGTCGAATTTCTCCTTTTCGTGCGGCAACATAAAGCCTGGAATTTAATTTGTAACCAACATAAATAAAAAATTACGAACCTGCCGCCACCACCGTATCTAGCGTTGGAAATCGACGCCGCGTTCGCATGCTAATATCTCGGAAGACGAGCACCTGAAAATCAAGTGACGGTTTTTTAGACATTTTAGGCATGAATTACTTAATATTGACAATACAAGAAGTCCGGAAATCTCTGGCTTCGCCGTCCCTTTAAATAACGATTTTTACTCACCTGCGCCAGCTCACAGTACCGCAAAATATTTCTTCTATACATCCGGCTCATCTCACCCCTGCCGCGCACATATTCAGCCGTCATTAGACCGACACTGGAATCGACATAAATACAGTTATTTTGAAGGTATCACGAATTTTTCCTTTTTGTTGTTACTACGGGTCGCCCTAAAATTCATGATTCAAAAACTCGTTTTAAAAAATTTTAAATTTGTTGCTGAAACATTTCAGTTCAATTTATGACTTTTAAGTTAGTTTAGTTTTTTAATTTTATTTAAGAGTACGACCACGACGAACTTATCAATAAAGCCGATAATCTGATATAGGTACGTCCACCGATTCACCACCACCGTCACAAAGAAGCCGAGCATGAAGTTGAGCGGGATGTAGGATAATCGATTGTCAAAGTATTGGACGACTTTTTCGAAGGTTCTGTAAAAACCTGAATCCAGAAGCAGCCTTTTAAAGGGAGTAAGGATCGAAAAAAGATAGGTTTAACGGGCAAAGTAATTTTGTAATTCCAAAATACTCCAAATCCTTACTGTTGTTGCCTTGGGTTAAGGGCACTTCGGTAAATTATGCTGACAATCGCGTACAGTATCCACCAAACAATTAATTCCACTGAAAAACTAATTACTTCATTAAAAAAAGCAGTTTTATACCTATAACACTCTTCCAAATCGACCCTCGCCATTTCAGGAGTAGCTTAAATAGGGTCCACGGTTTCGAGGTGGAGACGGCTAGATTGTAGTTTATCGTCATCTGAAAACAAACGATTTCTCTCTTGCTCTCTCTCTCTCTCTCTCTCTCTCTCTCTCTCTCTCTCTCCCTCTGACTAAAAATGGCTTACCTGAAAAACTAAAATAAATTAGTGCGAGATCGTCAGAAAAAGTAGGTAAAATCCGGTAGATTCCGCAGTTCCGTTGACTGCCAATATTCCAGAGGGGAAAACACGAAAACAATTGGACCTGAAAAAGCGGTGGCGACCATTAAAAATCGAATTTTATTGGGAGATCGACCCGGGGGATTAAGCGGAACCGCCGAAAAACACGAGGGGGATTGGGGGCCGAAAGTTCAAAAGTTGAGAGTGCATACGGTGGCTGTGGAATGGCGATAAAATCGATTTTTTTAGAAGGTAGACCGGCTTGCAAACCCTTAGCTTTAATTTTACGTAATCAGGAATCAGATTTGTCAAAAATTTAAGGAAGGAAATATGCATGAAAGAAAAAAAAATTGCCAAAAACATAACAGAGCACAAAAAACCGAAATCATGCTGATTTACGCTTAGCAGAAACCCTTGACGGATTTACACCCAAGAGAAATTTTGGTGCTTCAACTAAAAATCAAAGTTTCCGTAAATTTTGACTTATTGCCGGTGCGTGCAATCGTTTTCCGCTACCACTACCCAATTCGCATTATGCTAATCCAACGGGCATGGGCATTTTGACTGGGCGGCGCGGAAACAGCCACTTTTGCTGCCCGGCTTCGATAGTTCAAAGGAATTCCGGGGGGAAGGACTGTTTCGTAAGTGCATAGAACACAAAAGTTCGGTAAATAAATCACCACGTCGCAAAAGATGCCATTTTCTTAAAGAAATCGATAAGTCCAAAAATTTCTCAAAGCTAAGCATCACGGAAAATCACCCGAAAAGGCGCACCTTTGAAAAACGACCCTATCCCATACCGTCTCTCTCTTCTCCATTCCCAGAAACCCCCACATATGAAAAAGAAATTTAATGGGCGGCCGCGTCAAATATTTGTGCGATGCCTTTCGGACGGCGAAGTTCAAACCACCCTTGTAGACGGTGGTTGATCAGCAAATATGGGCCCCCGATCCTCGGCCCTTTTCCGGCCGCTAGGTACCCACCTACTGTTTGAGCCGAAAAAAGTTGAACGGAGTAGGGTCCTTATTGGCACCCACGTGGCCTGGGGATCGAACTGTGATGTCTGTTCTAAAGTGATGCCGGCTTCCAGAGCTCGTAAACGCGTTCCGGGCCCTGTTGCTCCACTACTTCTTTCGGTACAGGATGTTAGCACTGGTGATGTCACCCCACGGTTAGGCACACATTAAAAACGATTCGGCAAGTTTGATTTCTCGCGAAATCAGCCTTGGAAGGTAGGGCCGATGAAGGGGGACGGAGGGAAGGGACTTACCTTGTGCGTAGTTGCAACTTCAAAAAATCGTAAAGACTACGAACGCCACGTTACAGCTATGCCAGTTAGCCCGTCGGAATCAGCGTTTCAAGCCCCTTCGAATACCCTACATGTTACTGGCTGTGGTGGCAAGCGAGACGCGAATTTTTCAAAAATCAATTGGCCAACCTGGCTTGAAAAGTCAGAACTTCCAAAAATCGTAAAACCACGTCCGCGCTGCTACAGCTATGCCAGTTAGCGCATCGGAATCAGCGTTTCAAGCTGGTTCGAATGAGTCCAGGGCGAAATTCTGAAGAGCGCTGGTTAACGCGAATTTTCGAAAAAATCTATGTGGTCGTAAGCTCGAAAACCATCAAAAACACATTTATAAAAATTCTAGCAGCACACTCCCCAGTTCTACCTACACCAGGACTCCCGGGTCCAGACAAACGAATTTCGACATATTTTTTGATGCTTTTTCGAACGGCGCAATTCGATACGGCCATAGCTTTCGAATTTTTGGCGAAATGGGCGTTAGATGATCGGGACTGGGAGCAAAAATAATTTTCCCTCCGTCGCCACATCACCGTTTCCGATCCTTGCGAGTTTCCGATGATTTTCAACGCTTTTCGTCTCAAATTGTACCCAGCTGGTGCGAAGACATGTACCCGGGGTATTGATGCTTATTGTCTCGAGCCCGCCATCGGTCATCCCGCCGGCGCTGGCGGGAAACAGGTTCGCGCGTGTGGCCGAATTTCAGCAGTGATCGCCACCCTTCTCAATCACCCGCGCCCTCTCGCGCTCAATCAACTCCCGACTCATTCGCTGCGCAGAAGAACTCGCGAGTTTCTGGGTGACGACCTCAATTTTTGTGATAATTTTTTTGTGCTGGCTCACATTAGCAGGATCGACGACTTCAGGACGTTCGAAATTTTAAGCCAACCTTTCTAAAAAAATGCATTAATTATTATTTTTATTTTACAATTTTGCTATGAGTTGTGATAGTTTAATTTAATCTACTTTAACTCTTTTTTCCTTAAATTATATTGCTTGAAAACGGACGTAGTAAGCATTTGCATGATATTCGTATGGGTTTTAGCCTACACCAGATGGCTAATAGTTTCCGTCTTATTCCTGAAACCATTTTATAAAGGTGAGCATCAGATAATAATTGAGCATAAAATTGAGCACCAGACCATCATCGATATTTTGAACTCAAAAATTGACGTCGTTTCTCTGCCCATGCAAGTCAGTTTCAAAATTTCCGTATTTTCCAGTTTTCGAACCCAAAACCCATCCTAAAATGTTGACCCCGGGCCTCCAATTGGGCTAATTTCTCCGCGGATCATCACGATCTCGCCAAATCTCTCATATGGGCGTTTCATTTTGGATTGGGGAGAGGCAGGGATGGATTGCGGGATGATATGGAGATGATCAATAGGCGGAAGGGGGCAAATGATCTTTTCTTCATCGATTCCTCATCTCCCCCTGCACCACACCAAGTCACACTACTTCCCAAACTCCGCTGCCCATCAAATACTATATTTCCTCAAGGTTCTCATAGGTTTTGGTTGGGGTATTTTGATCTGATGTAAACTGATTGTTTTTAATTAAAGGGACGTTAAAGACAAAGATCAAATTCGAGCTCCATATCCTATGCAGTAAACTTTTGCTTTTCTTATTTTTGCATACGCGCGTAAGGCCCGGATTTAATGGAAAGCACGGTTGTATCATCAAATTAAGAAAACCAAAAAAAAAAAACCGCAGCTTTTAGGAATTTAATTTGGGACTTTAATAAAAACTATTATATTTTATGCCAGAAAAGTCGTCATTTCCTGGAAATTAAATTTTGTAGAATTCACTGCGATCCGACGACCCAATGTCGAGATACAGGATTTTTTCTGAAAATTCCCTTACCTATGGCTTTTGGAACTTTTTGGATTTAACGCTATACCCGAATTTCATTGCACCCTACGGGTCTTTTTTAAATATAAAAAAAAAAAAAAACAAAATTTTTTCCTAATTTTGATAAAACTACAGCATCTGGTATCAGGCTCAGTTAAAAAAAGATAAGTTAATTCTCCACAAACCTCGCCATTTACTTTTTCTTTGTTTCAAAATTTTTTACGCTACGCTTTACCGTTCTATCAAAATTCCAGTACCACCTCCCCACACGCGTGTCGTGTTATGGATGTGGGTCTAGGCCTGGGCCCTCCCCGAGGGCCCTTGGGCTACGAACCTGACGACGGCCTTCCACAAGCAGATCCACTGCCGGACGGGTGGGTCGAGCACCGACTGCAGGTCGACCGGAAGCGTTTGGAAGCGATGATCACTGGTATTTTAGAATTTTACAAGCCTTTTGAGGACACTTTAGGCAACCCCCTCCACGGCACCGGTCTCTACCTCCAGAATGCCGACGAATTTTTCCGGAAGGTTCAGGAAATGTCGGAGGCTGTAGTCTGCTGGCCGTCAAAGCTGAAGATTGGGGCAAAGACCAAGAAAGGTAAGCCAAAAGCTAGAAAAATGATTTCGTTTAGACCCATTCGTGAAGATCCTCGGCCTTCCACACCAAGTCGAGGTAGCTGCTCAGTTGATAGCCGCCAAACTACAAGTGAAGGTAAGGAGCTTACGCCTATTCTTAAGCCTATACCTAAATCGAGATCCTAAGCGTTGCCTCGTATTTTAGAGAGATCGTGTAACGCTCAAAATGGAAATTGTTCACTCGGCCCATTCGCATATTATCGGAAAGGGCGGAAGGGGTAGTCAGACGGTGATGAGGCATACCGGATGTCACGTCCATTTTCCGGATGGGAACAAGTACAGGTGGGTGGGGCATGAATTTAAGACGTAAGAACCAAGCTAAGGCCTATTTATTTCAGCGAAGACCTGACAAAAAGTGACCAGGTTTCGATCGCCGGTCCTGCGGCGCAAGTCGAGCAAGCGAGACGGTTGCTTAGGGTAAGTGAAATTTATTCTTAGGCCACTAACACCAATTTTTAACCTAGTAAAACAATTTTTTTAAGGCTAATATTTAATATCAAGCCAAGGGTTTAAATTTAAAGCTACAAAATCGTTCGCATATCCACAACTCGTTAGAAAACGAAATTTTTGTAAATCAACTTTTTGTTAAAATTGCGTTGATATAGTCTAATTCTAAATCTTTGTCGAGCTCCACATAAAGTATAAAACTTATTAACGTTACTATAAAAACTCCCCCATGTTTTCAGGACCTCTGCCCCGTTATCATCCAACTCGAGGTGCCCTACCTGGCTGCCCATCCCCCAATGTTCCCCCCGGTCACCCCGACCGTAAATATAATGTGGAAAAAGGTGTGCGTTGCCACTTAAATAATATGGATCGACAGATATCAGATTGCCTACTGACTTGTACGCTGCGAGGCTGCGCCGGGAATGAGGCGGATTTTCAAGGGGCACTGGACTCACTGCTACAAATGCTACACCTTCCGGTGAGTACTAGCTAGGTATCGGTAACTGCATGTAATTTTCAGGTAGATCTGTACGTTTGTTGTCGAGTGCTCGTCGAGATACGGCCTGTCGCGTTGAAGGCGCTTTACAGCTCGGCTAACATGCCGAGGTTAGTTTTTGAGGGCACTCTGAAGCAGGGTTAGTGACACCAAAAAGTATACCAAGATGTGTATTACATGCATTTCGTTATACTCTACTCGAAACCAGTGATCTTACATTATTTATTGACAACAACATTCAGCTTACGCGGTTCTATTCAGGTTTCTGACTCTTTTCTACGAAATCGGGCTTCGAAATTGTGGATGGAATCGTGGTCAATTTTGATAATTTTTTAAAGCAGGGTTAAACCATCGGCTTGCTGATACAAGCCAAATTTTATATTCGTTTTAAAACACCGTTTTTCTGCACTTTTATCCACTTTATGAAAGCAAAGGGTGGCGGCTGCAAGGTTTCGTAGGAAATGATGTACGGCCTCTTGTGACCTTCGTAGTGGGGACCACGGAAAATTTTACTGGATGTTCAACATCCGCCCTCTATTGTGTTTTGCCTTGTAGAACATGGATCAATCCATTCATCTTTTTTGTTCGTAGTACATGGCATTTTCAGGGCGCCCTAGCTACCGTTGGGCCCTACGCCGGAACATGTATTCATAGAGATGAGTAGGGACTTGCTTCTGATCATCCCAAAAATCCATTCATAATGGCTATTTGTCATCCTGCTATTTTTGTGCTTAGCCTTGAAGAAGTGAGACTCGTCGACTTCCACAATTTTCCCACCTAGCCTGCCTCAGGGAATGTACGAACTTACAAGTCCGAACACCCATTCGTAGTGGCTTTTCAACATGCGACCCCTTTTATGCTTTGCTTTGAAGAAATGGCTCTCATCGATTTCGACGGCCTTGCCAGGCCCGCTGAGTTTGTCATTTTGCAGGGAATTGACCGCCCAATCTTTGGCCAATTTTCCCGGGGCTCGCATTTTTTCTACGGTCCTATCGTCTTTTTTCTTTTCGATATTCTCGAGCATCCGCGCCTGGATGGCGTTTAGCCTTGAAGAAATACGATTCGTCGATTTCGCTAAAATTCTCACGAAAAACCCGGCGCGTCCAGGAACCAGAAACGACATATTTGTCGATCTTCGCTAATCACTATCATCTTCGTTTTGGCAGCTGGCGCATCGCCAAAAACACGACTCCTTTGCTCTTGTCCTTTTACCAGGGACATTGCGGACTTAGCCTTCATATCACCCCAGGTTGCCTCAATGGCTTGAGGGTGGACTCGTTGCGATTAGGGTGCAACTTGTGGTTAACCCAGCTGTGGGGACTCAGGTCTTATTGAGCCCTCTGGGTTCTTATGTGCCTTACTTCACTCACGATATCACGAATGCAACAGGTTTTATTCTTGCTTGTTGGGGAGAGGATGCATCCCGCTCCTCCTCTTGCGGCTCCTTTATACCGGCCTGGCCCTTCAGGGCCCCGCCTACTGCCCCCTGCCTGAGATAGCATAGGGCGCCGAGATCGGGACCCCACACCAATTTGAAGATGTTTGATGCCCTGGTAGGCTTTCCACCCATCAATTAGCATCTTCGTCCCCAGCGGCGACATTGGCCTGAATGAAGGGTAATAGAACTCCGCGGGATAGCCGCAATTTTCTTTGACCATGCCGAATACCCATGAATGCTTTCTAGCATGTGTCCTCGGCTGCGTTCGGCCTGAAAAAAGTAGTACTCGTCAACCTCGACGCTTTTGCATCGGCCTCGCAACTTCAATGAGTTAATGACCCAGTCCTGAGCCAGTTCACGATAGGGGATACTAGGGGAGATTCTACGGAGATCGTGGACCATAGAAAAATTCGTTCTATACCGGTCCCCCGGCATATATCGTCGCACCAAACAGCCCGGTGCATGTCAGGCTCATGGCGGCATCGTGGGCAAGTTTCGGATCGCCGGCCTAGCGGTATGCCGAAGATCATTCGTAGTGATTCATTCCACAGCGGCCACGATGGTGTTTTGGACCAATGTGCGATGGAGGTGAGTTAGAGGCGTACACAGAATGCGGTTCACAAAAAATTTTGGTCACGTGCGGCCAACCGTGGGCCTGGTTTCCCCTCTGGTCACGGCACCTAAGCCGCCGACGCATGGAGCATTCAAGCTACCGAACAAATTCAACTACTAATTTTCTGAAATTCGCCGGCACATCGTTTTCCATCTTTTTCCTTTTTCTCTTTTTTTTGTTTTTGTAATCACCTCGGTGATTCAAGCGGGTGTTCTGAAGGGATTCGCCGTTAGCAGAGCCAGTCAACTTGAAGTTGTCCAACGAACAAGGCCACATTTTCAAAAATTAACAACCTCTGTTTGTTAGGGAATCAGAAGAAATTTTTGTAAACAAAAAAAAAGGGAAAGGGCGCCCCGGAGTTCAGCCAGGCCTTTGCACCATGCCATTAGTGTCCGGAGTGCCGGTTCTTGTGGTCGATCACCAACATGGCGCTCTTATCCTTGTGATCGATAGGTGTGGCTAGCGACCAATTCGTCGACATTGACGGCCTTGTTTCTCGGCGCCGCCCAGAAAAACAAAGGGAACTCCGGTGTTGGAAAATAAACGTGTAAATTTTTAAAACGGTGTCTTAAAGAAAGGACCCTTGTCCGGTTTATCGGCATTTTGCGAACCTGATTCCACCAAAATCCCTCATCATACCGCGATTTTAAAGAAAAGAGCCCGGAACCCGAATAAGAACCGCTTACGCAATGAAAAGGGACTGGATTGGGGGAGGTTTTGGCTGCTGGAGAAATGTGTGGTCGTTGTGGTGCGGAGTTTATGGGGCAGTTGCTGGAAAATTTGACTTTGAACAACCAAGAAACCAATTGCCGCCAATGCTTTCAGAAATTGGAATAACTCGAGTTTTTGCCCTAACAATACAAGGACGGAACCCTGGAGCGTAACGTTCTCAAAAGCAAATACGAGGCGCTCCGGTAAATACTGTTGTTTTCTTGCGCTCATCATCCTAGCTAGAATTTTCTGCATTCTCTCCAAAAAAGTTTGGGAAAAATCTCCAAAAAAAAGAAAAAACTCACTCTAATTTTCTTAGTAGCATACAGCCACGGTGGTGTTTGGCTCGAAAGAAATAGCTTTCGTCGATCTCGACCATTCTGTGGCGATTTCTAAAATAAATTGTTAGAAGGATAGGAGAACGGTTCGAAGTCTGCTAACTTATCAAAAAAGGACGAAGCGGAAACTTACTGTGAGCCGGTGAACCAGCTATCTTGTCGGCTTGAGAATCTCCAGAAAGCCTTTCTGCATGTTAGCTGCCGTGATTTCCGGGAGGTTCAGACTTTCCGCATAGAATTTAGACGCGACAAGCGCATAAACCAGACCCAGACCCACCCGCAGGCGGAACTCCGCCCTCGATCAATTTTGTCTGCTCGTTCCCACGGACGTTTCGGAGGGTCCTTTCTCGGGGGGCCACACACGCTTGCACTCTTAGCCTGGCTCGCGGCCACTATCTTTATTTGCCTCTCTCTCCCCCGGCTGCAAAGAGTAGCCCAACGGAACCCGGGGGTCAACGAAGGGGGCAGAGCGAGAAAGGCTTTCCAGGGCGTAATCGGTTGGCTTGCGGGGTTTTTCGACCTGAAAAAAGTGTTGAAAGAAACTGAAAATATAAAACGGCAAAAATCTCAGGTGACAAAAACGAAAAACGGAACAGAAAACCTAACCAAAAGAACACTAAATCGATTCCAATCTTTCCATCGCGTAAGTGGTTGTAAAATGACGATTATGCGAATGGCCTGTGGGCCCCCGACACCTTTAAAATACTTTTCCAGGCTCGAGAAGCTGTGCAAAGCATGGAACGTGCAGCTCGACTTCCCGCCCGGCGGCGCCCAACCCGTTCAACATCTCCAGTTCAGCGGCAGCATCGCGGCCATTTTGAGGGCCAGAAAGTTTGTGATGGTGCGTCCGATTTTTTAGTAGTGTACTGGGGCAAAACGCACGCTCCCTTTAAAGGCCTCAAATTTTTAGGGAACCCTGCCAGTGTGCCTGCAATTTGAGCAATCGCCAGTAACATCAGCGTTAGACTACACGGCCATTGAAGCCTGCCACGCTGTCAGCATCCAGGCCAAGTCGAGGCTCGGCCAGGGCGGCGAGCAGGTGGTACGTTGACTTTATGGAGGTTTATTGGCGTGCTTCGTATAACTGTAAGTTCGTGATTTTAAGAACTTTTCCATCCGTGCCGCCGAAGAGCAAATGGTCAACGTCCTGCGGGCCAGGCAACGGATTTTGGGCCAAGAGCAGAGCGAGACGATCGATGATGACTATGATTTTATGAAGATTACCCAGAATTCCGGTAAATTATTGTAGTAAAAGGAACCACGATATTTTTTAGAACCGATTGCACCATTTTCGCGATCACTCGTTGGGCGCGGGAATAATTCGGAGGAGTCGACTAGGGTAAATTTTTGCATAGTTTTGGATAAATGGAAAGAGAATGGAAAGAGCGAAAGAGAGAAGAGAGAGTAGGAGGTCGAGAGAGAGAGAGAGCGAGAGAGAGAGATCAAGAAAAATATTTCTTTAGGATGCTCCCCTCTCACCGGACCCGGAAAATTCTCCCATTGCCCATTCACTTTTGACCGGCGCCAAGCACATCAATGGAGATTCGTGAGTTTTTGTGGAATAGTGGCTTCTGCGTTCCTTTAAACCTTATTTTGTAACCTTAAGAATATTTGGTGTAAATTTAAGGCATTTTTAGACAACTCTGGTCCGGCCAACCCTCTGCTCGTCGTGCCTCCAGGGAGCAAATGCTTTTCAAGGCTCACCAAGGTAAAAAATAAAGAATGTGCGTTAGCACGGGAGAGAAAGAGAGAGAGAGAGAGAGAGAGAGAGAGAGAGAGAGAGAGAGAGAAGAGAGAAGAAAAAGATATCTAGCTTTTTCAGCAATTTCCGACACGATCGGTACTTCCACCCGCTATCCCACAGATCTTTGGGCTGGATATGGGTTCTCGAACTCGTTGCCCACAGACCTTCTGAAGGGCATGATCGACCTAAAAATGGCAGCCGGAGCTGATGGTGCAAATGGCCATATGGTAATTAGGTTTCAAGAATTAGAATGGACCTGAATGGCTTGTCCACTGCCACTCAATTCCTTTAGGCTCCGGGCACTTCGATCAAAGGGCTGGCTGCGGTGAGGGAGGAAGAGGAGGACTCCTCGTTGTCGGCTTCCTCTTCCTCCCTATCGAACACGTTCAGCACTCGCGTGTTCCAGAAGAAACAGAAACTGCCAGGTAAGGCAAGAGAGCGAGAGAGGGAGAGGGAGAGAGAGAGAGAGCGGAAAGCGTTTAGTAGATGAACTAAGCATATTCAGCCTTCTCCGCTTCGACGTCCATCTTCGAGTCTCCACTTGGTGCATCAGAAAGTGCATGGGATGTCTCGCTATTTACCGAACCGGCGATGGTGCTCGCACAGCTCGGTCTCGGCGAGTACACGGCCAATTTGAGGGAGCAGGAGGTGCGCTACGCTGCATACCTTAACCCTACATGTCAACTTTAAGATCGACATGGACGCTTTTCTACTCCTTGATGAGGCCGCGCTACGGGACATCGGTGTCGCCACCGTCGGCGCGAGGAAGAAAATCCATCACGCGATCCTTAGTAAGATCTCGAGGTCCTACAGTAATTTTCCCCCTTTTAGAACTTCGCGAATCCGCGAAGGCGCAGGGCTACTCGCTGTGAGAACGGACTCACTTTTTGTTGCCATTTTGGCATTTTCATTCTATTTTTGATTTTTTTTGCTTTCCACTCACCTCATTTGCCATGACGCACACCCCCCAAAAATTTCTTGTCTATCCCAAAAAGCCAGCCGAAACCATTATGGGTACCCCACGACCGCTCGGTGCCTCTGACATCATACTCTATTTTGCATTTCTTGAATTTCCTTTTCACTTATTCCGGTGCCATTTTGGAGCAGAGACAAGGAGAGATTATAATAAAGTCGTTGACATCGAGAACACACAGGAAAGCTAAGACTTTTTGATATTTTTTGTTTGCCCATGTCGAGCCGTCGGTTCCGCCCTCCTCACCACTGGCCAGATAAAATCTCTGGTCTTTGAGACGTTCGCGTGCAGCAGGAAATGGGTGGAAAATAATGGGGGAGAGGACACTTTAATGTTTGAGCATTTGAAAGCTTTTTGAAGAGGCGCTTTGAAAGCGCTAATTTTGATGTCAACTGGCCTAATTTCGAAATTAAGCGTGATCTAAGCCTAAGCCTAAGCCTAAGCCTACGCCTAAGCCTACGCCAGACCTAAGGCTAATCCGAGCTTACGCCAAAGTCGAAGCCGAAGCGAAAGCCTAAGCCTAAGCCTAAGCCTAACCTAAGCCTAAGCCTAAGCCTAAGCCTAAGCCTAAATCTAAGCCTAAAGCCTACGAAAACTAAACTAAAAGGCTAAAAACTTCTCAAGGTTCGTAAAGTAAGTAAGTAAAGTAAGGTAACCTAATTAAGGCAAAAAATCTCCTATGTTTTCACAAAACATTACGCTGTTTTTGGTATTATCACTGACAGCCGACCATTAACTACACATTTTAAAGGGTTTTCCTGCGCGAAAACCTATGAAAATTGAGGCTAGCCAGTTACCCGTTACCCACTTTCAAACAGGCGGGCCCCGGGCCCCCGAGGAGTTTTGTACTTTGTAGTCCCGGGGGGTGGTATTATTGAGCCCCGGGCCCCCTACCCGTCGAGATTTGCATAAATCAGCCGGTCAGCGAGGGAGGGACTATATTTCACAATGGGTCTGTACTTTATAACCCCCGCCTAGACTCGCCTAGGCCCGCTGCAAAATTTGGAAAAGTAAGTTCCGGCTTGCCCGTTTTTTTGCGGGGCAACGATAATCGCCCCCCGAAATGTTCCGATGTCAGTCCCGATTTTTCACCGTTTCCAGGGCTGGCCAATTTACGGGTTTGCAACCCCCCTCGAAATAGAACGGCATCAAAGAACGAACACGATAAAAGATTGGATATTTTGTAGTTGAGGAAGATATTTTAGTCGGAAAATTAGACTGTTTTTAGAATTGAGCCTTTTTTATTTTGCTTTGTTGTTACTTTGCAAGGTTTTTTACCGTAGAAGCCAGCTAGAAAATCTTAATAAAAATAATTATAAATGAATTAGAGTTAATTCATCGAGATTTTTTGAATTTTAACTTCCATGTATATTTTGGCGTTTTAATTTATTCGGTGCTGCTTTATTACAATTTTTCTATTTTACAATTTATATAACGAAATAATTATGCCGTAATGATTTATAAATTTATTAAAATTGAAAATGAGTTTTATTTATCAAAATGTCACAATTCCATTTTTTTTATCAAAATTTTTTTAAGTTCCCAATACGAATTTTGGCAATTTTACACTTTTTCGAGCTCCTCCAGCAGGCCGATCTTTGCATCCGTTTTCCCCAATTTAGTATCGTCTACGCTTGGCAGGTACTAATTAATTACATGCCCAACTGAGGCGCGAAATTACTAGTTTATCAGCCAGGATTCCTATGGCAACGCCAGGCGGCGAGATGGCAATTTGGGGGTCGTCTGGGGGGTTTGAACGTGGCATTTTGCTCGGGTTATATTCTGAAAAAATCGTACCGTAGCCTTACTGTACTATTTATTAAAATTAAATCTTATTGAATTACATAAATTGAATTAAGATAGAAAAAAGTTACAAAATTCATTTTTGTATAAAATAACTAGGGCCCATTGCCTTGAAAAAACACCCACATTTTTTTTGGAAAAAGGCATCTTTCGGCTCCTTCTTTACTGCTGTTAAGAAACAGATTGTCGTATTCCAAAATATTTTAAGGAATATGGTTTAATCGCTCTTCTTTTAAAGGTGATGAGCAGCGGCTCGCCGCTATGGAGCCTGGGGTCGATCCGGCTGCGCGTCGCGCTCCTCATCCTTGCTGCCCTCTCCATCGAGGGGTTGATGAGGAGCAACCTGAACATGGTATGCCGCTGTCCCTTTAAAACGAAAAAATCGGCTTCAGGCCATGGTCTGCATGCTGAACTCGACAGTGTTGGCGCAGGAACGGGCACAGAAGGTAGGTAGTGGGAGTTTCGTATTTTTTTCAGGGCTCCGGGTGAGCTAGCAGAGATCCTTGAGGATGTATAAGCAAAATCTAATTTTCAGCGGCTCAAAAATAGAATGAAAAGCTGTCTCAAAATCTAATTTTTAACTTTAAAGGAACTAGTAACTTTCGGAAAACATTACTGTTAGGGCAAACGGGTAACTAGCAAACACCTCTCGTCAGTTTAATGTTTAAGAAATCCCTTTAAAGCCTCTACAAACTTGCCAAACCCTGAAATTCAGTTCATCATGATCGGCAACGTGAGCCACCAAGTTGACGACTGCCCAATTCTGGAGATTGGAAACCGGAAACCGATGGAACATGTGAGTCGGGAAGTAGCGAAAAGGGTTTAGGAAAAAAGGCATAATCCTAAACCTGAGCCTAAGCCTAAGCCTAAGCCTAAGCCTAAGCCCAAGCCTAAGCCCAAGCCTAACCCTAGGCTTAAGCCTAAGTCTAAGCCTACACCTCACGCTTCCGAATGGCGGTACTGAACTGTTAATGGGGGGAGGCTCTCGGAAAACATGCCTTATCCCCCGCTACCCCCCCCCCGCTAGCAGACCATTACTTTAGAAATTACCATATTCTTTCAGCGCGGCACCTTTGACTGGAGCTCCCAAGAGCGCGCCGTCCTCTTTGCCATGTTCTACGTAGGTGGCTTGGTGGCCGCTCTAACCACCGAACCGCTCACTAGAAGGTCCGTTTCAGCAAGGGTGACAGCAAGATTCTACCTTTCTTCAGGTATGGCCCGAAAACCGTGGTGATGTGGGGGGCGTTGGTGAACGTGGTCGGCACGTTCGCCACCCCGCCGACGGCCGCCCATTTTGGGGCCATCCCGTTGTTTGTCGTCCGATTTGTTATGGGATTTGGGCAGGTGAGAAGGTCTGGCGAATTCAGACGGTATCTAGGGTGTGCTGTACCCGTGTATGGCCGTCCTCGTAGCGCATTGGTTTCCGGCTGGGGAGAAGAGCACAGCTGTGGCGATTACCACTACCGGAAATCAGGTATGGTAATTCTTGCTCTCTCTCTCGCTCTCTCTCTCTCTCTCTCTCTCTCTCTCTCTCTCGTTCTATCGCTCAAATCCAGGTGTCCGTCGTCGTTGCCCTATTCCTGACCGCCGAACTCTGCCAGCTGCCGTGGATGGACGGGTGGCCGTTCGCCTTCCATCTCTACGGTACCGTAGTCTGTACACGTTTTAGAATCCATTTTTAGGTGTAATTGGCGCGTTGTTCTGCGCTTCTTGGTGGTGGGGCGTTAGTGATCATCCGTCCACCAATCCCTACATTTCGGCTGTAGAAAAGGCCCATATTGATGAGGGACGGAAGAGCAATCCGCATACGGTAGGTTAAACGCCTCTTTTCACTCTCTCTCTCTCTCTCTCCCTCTCGCTCGTCTACCTTCCTTACCGTATTTTCAGGAGAAGCCGCGCTGGGGAGTGCTGCTGAAATCGCCGCTAATCTGGTCGCTGGCCGCCTGCTCGTTGTGTCATAATTTTATCACCGTCGGGACCGTCACCTATTTGCCGCTCTACTATCGTACCGTGCTGAACATGAGCTTGACCTCGGTGGGATATCGGTCCCGAATTAACTAGCGTAATTGTTGCAGAATGGAATCTTCTCGGCATTGCCGTTTGTTGCGCAGTTTTTTTCGAAGGTGAGTTCAGGAGGAGAGAGAGAAAGAGAGAGAGAGAGAGAGAGAGAGAGAGAGAGATGGAAAGAGAGAAAGAGGGAGAAAAGCGAGAAAGAGCTATGGAAAGTATCAGAGAGTGTGTGAGAGAGAGAGAGAGAGAGAGGGGAAGAGCGAGAGAGAGGATGCGAGGGAGCGAGAAGTCCATTCCAGGTAGCCTTCGCCTCCTTCGCCGACGAGGCCAAGAAGCGCAAGTGGATGAGCATCACCGCAGCCACAAAAATCTGCAATTCCATGGGTAAGCTACAGTAGACCTGAAGAGCAAGAATCTCTCAGCCTCATTCGGCATCGGCTTCTGCTTCCTGGGGCTCTGCTTTTTCGACTGCCAACTCCGAGGTTGGGCCATCGCCGCGGTGTTTGGGGCCATGATTTTCGTGAGCGGCTACGTGCCCGGGTACAATACAAGGTATGGAAGTGGCCCTATTTCTTCAGAGCGTGATTTTAAGCGTGGTTTGCGTAGCCCCCTCACAGACGGCGGCCATCGCGTCGTTTACGCGGTTCTGGGGCCAGGTCGGCTCCTCGGTGGCTCCGTATATGATTGGAGCGCTGGCAAAAACGGTAATTAGGGGAGAGGTAGCGAGAGAGAAAGAGAGAGAGAGCGAGAGACAGAGAGATAAATAGAGACGGAGAGAGAGAGCGGGAGAGAGAGCGAAAGAGTGAGAGAGTTAGAGAGAGAGAGAGCGGGAGAGAGAGCGAAAGAGAGAGAGTGAGACTACGCGACTTTCCAGGGTACACTGGATGAGTGGAAACACGTCTTTGCCACCATCGTCTTTCTCTGCTTCTCCTCCGGCGTTTTCTTCCAGGTAATCATAAAAAATTATTTTAATTTAGATTTGATTTAAAAGGAATTTTTTACAACATTCTAACTTTGTAAACTTTGAGCATCTGTTGCGGCATTTTCGTGAATTTTATACGACCAATTTTTAAAGATAAAAACCAGGTTTCATATATTTGCAATTTTCAACCAGGTTTTTAAAGATTATAACCGTATGCTACCGTAATACAAATTCAAACCTACCTGGATAAATTGCAAAATGCTAGAAAATATTTACGAAAAATTATGCAAATTTCCCAGATCGTCGGCTCAGCCTCGATCCAGGACTGGGACACTTCTGCCCAGTGCACCGAGATGAAGCTCATCGAGGCCAAGCCGGAACCGGAAAAGCTGACAGAAACCCAGAATCCGGAAGAAGTCCCATTGGATGACCCAAAACTACAAAGTACAACCTAGTTTTTATGCTAATTTTCATGTTTTTTGCGCAACCCAAGTTTTCGATTCTCAAGTTTACAAATTTATCCTGGTTTTAGGCATATTTTCGTGTACATATCAAAATCGGCTCTCACTGACTTTCATCCCTGATTCGCATAACATAGAATTCTCGCAGTCCCATACCAAAAAACATTTCTCTGATCTCACATGTTTTTCAGACTTTCGTGTGATTCTCGTTTTATCGATTCGACGCGGAATAAATCGCATAAATTGACGGAAAATGGCTTGAAAAGTCTGATTACAGGACCCGGTCGTGGCTTCAAAAATGGAAAGAAAAATTGTCTTGGCTTTGGCAGTATGGAAAAAGACGTCTTGAAGGTGAAAAAAGCATCAAAACGGGCATAAAACAAGAAAATGCAATTTGATTTTAAAGGAGCCGGAAAGGCAAAAATTGCGAGCAATTTAGAGTACAGGTAGCCTTTTTGAAAATTTCGCAACTCATATGGCCGTTTCACTGCCTTCCAGACCCCTTTAAAAGGAAGCAAACAGCACAAAATGTCGGCAGCCAAAATGCCGACAACCAAAATGCTGACATTCTAAACACCGACAATCTTGATGCCGATATTACAAGAATCGAATCAGCTTTTTTCGACCAATATAACCGCTTAGACGTCGACATTTCGCTTTCGGGTTTTTGTCGGCATTTTGGACTGCCAGCGTATTCCTTGTCGGCATTTTGGCTCGAATTCCCTTAAAAATCAACGAAAAATTCCCGCTACAAATACGCCTAAATCCACGCCGCCGAGGGGGGCCTTATACAGCAAGGTCTTTTGGTGGAATAATAGAGAGGGCAGAGAGCCGGCATGGCGCACTGATGGCGTCGAGATTTTCGACGTCTGCGAGGAGGTCATCATCGAGCCGCACGAGGAGCAACGGTGCGGGCCTGAGTCGGTCGAACTGCTTCTGAAGATGTAGGATTGAAGGGCCAGGAGAAAAGAAACACGCCAAAACCAAGCCTAAGCCAAGCCTAAGCCAAGCCTAAGACAAGCCTAAGCCTAAGCCTAAGCCTAAGCCTAAGCCTAAGCCTAAGCTAAGCGTAAGCCAAGTATAAGCCTAGGCCTGAACGCAAGACTAAGCCTGAGCTGAAGCTTAAGCCTAAGCCTCAGTTCATGAGCTAAAAGCCGACCCTCACCTGAGGCGCTTGAATCGCCGGAACTTCTCGAGGAAGCTGATGTGAAGGAGCATCAGGATTTAGAGGAATTTGAATAATAACCGAATCGAATTTTTTTAGACGAGTTCAGGCAGTCAAGGGGCACCTAGAATTTCCCGCAGAAGAAATTTGGGTCGCGTTTGGTCCAGCCAAATGGCTTGTTTTCGGCCCCATGCGCCAGCTTGGGGATCCTGATCCGATTTTTATCGGCATCCGGGGTCACCCACAGCTTTCCCCGGGGCTCAAATCCGCTTTTTTTGCATCTGGAAGGGGATGGAATTAGCATTGACTTGGTCGAACCATGGAAATATTTGATTTTGAGAGAGCGAGAGAGAGAGAGAGAGAGAGAGAGAGAGAGAGAGTCAGAGAGAAAGTGAGAGAAAGAAAGAGAGTGAGAGAGAAACAGCATAAGAGAAAAAGATAGTCGGAGAGAGAGCGAGAGAAAGACTGAGAGAGAGCGAGAGAGATAGAAAGAAAGAGAGGGGGGAAAATGATAATTTATAAATTTCATGAAATCTACGTCAAAAAGATTTTGTAAGTTTTGAAAATGGTTGAAGTTTACGATAATATTCCGTGCCGCTTATAGCGTCAAAAGCTTCGAAAATGTTTAAAATAAACAATATTCTGTGCCCTTGAAAAATGGAAACGTCAAGAAGGCTGCAAAACGCTTCGCGCACGTATTTAGTAGCGTTTTGTAGCCCGCGAAACGAGGGGGAGTGGAATAGGTTCGCCGGGGAGAGGCTAATTTTCCGGGCTAATTTTCCGATTCCCACGCGCACCGGTTCCAGAGCCGTCAAGGCAAAATTGAGTCATGTTTTTACACATTTTCTTTGTCCAAAGGCGTTACCTTTAAAATCATTTTATGGATGTATTTTCCTGACTTTATGACGCCTTTAAAATGACACATTAATACATTCTCGTCTACCCCCGATGTTTTTGGGGCCAAAAATAAGGCGATTCTCACTGATATCATCGGGAAGGCCGCTACGGGACCCAGGAGCCTACCAAGAGAATAGACGCCTAATTTGCTGGCATTGAAAATTATGAAAGGGAAAATCTGGCAGACCAGGAACAGAATAAGACACTGGTTTGCCGGAATCGGGGAATCCTTTTGGAATAGGCTTCTCGAGCAGGAAGTCGAAAGGTATACCCACGCATTGATAGGGTACTTATTTTTCACTAATGTTTCGGCAATAAAATAAAATTAAAATATCGATTTAATCGTGTTTTCATCGTTTTTTAACGCAAATTAGTTAAAATAGTTTAACTCGTTTAAAAAAAACTAAAATGAAAGCCCACAATATCTAATTAGTTTCTTAATATGATAATATATCAATTTCGCTCTTCTTTTCGCTTTTCGCTGTTTTTTTACTACTCATTCTTTAAAAGCTAAATCCTTGTTCTCGTTGTTTTCTAGCCAATGAAAACGGTCCTCAAATACGAAATTAAAGCACGTTTGGAAAGGCTAAACTTATGACACTAACATTTACAGCCATGAGCGCCCTACTCTTCGCAAGTATTCTGCTACTAACCCACAGCTTTTCCATCCTAATGCTACTACTGTGCTTCACCCGCGAAATGGAGCGCTATCGATTCAATTTGCTGCAAATACAGGTCGTGCTAACAAGCGTATAAGATAAAGCCAAGCCAAAGCCTAAGCCTAAGCCAAGCCTAAACCAAGCCTAAGCCTAAGCCTGACCCTACGCCTAAGCTTAAGGTTAAGCCGAAGCCTAAGCCTAAGTGAAGCCTAAGCTAAGCCGAAGCCCAAGCTCAAGCCTAAGCCTAAGCCTAAGCTAAGCCTAAGCTAAGCCTAGACCAAGCCTAAGCTAAGCCTAAGCTGAGCATAAACCTAAGCCTGGCAACAAGTCTTAGCCTAAGCTTACCTCTAGGTCCTATCTCTATTCGTTTCCACCTCGATCCTCTGCACGAATCCCCAAATGACGCGCGTGTATGGAAATGACGATATCGCGGTGTTGATCCAATTCTCTGGCATTTCCAATAGCCCCCACCTCATCCCGGTGATATTGGTAAAGCTTTAAAAATTACAAAATGCAGGATTTTTTAGATAGTTCTGCTCTACCTTGGCATCGCCCTCATCTGCGCGCACGTCCATTGCTTCGTATATCGGCTTAAGGTAGGATTTTCAGGGTTTAAAGGGGCATTGAAGGCATATTAATTTTTATGGAAGCTTAAAGTATGATTTTTAGGGGCTTTAAGGGGAAATTGAAGTCAAATTCTAGCGGCCTGTACAGTCAAATAAGCTTTCAGTTTTCCAGGCAATCGAAGCCGTCTATATCGACGTACCATTCGAAAACATCTGGAGTCAGCTGGCTATCCTCCACGGACTGATCGTCATCCCGTTGCTTGCCGTACTCTTTGACGTGCTTCGGTTTTCCTCAATTGAGCAGGATGTGCTGGGAGGTGAGGCCTTTTGGCTAAACACAGCATTTACATTACTTTCCGATACGTTTAAGTCCTATCTCTATCCCGAATTTTCTGCGAAGTCGCCGTTACGTCTTAAGTTTTGCTGTTGTCTAGATGATGCCTTATTACAGCCCTTCCCCTGCCCCTCCCCATCGTGTCCCTCGTCGCACTCGCCGGCCTACTCGGTTTCTACCTGTTGCTCACAATGCTCGTGCTCTATAAGCTCACCCGAGCCCTGGCCGACCCAAAAATGATCGACCACAAATTCTTCTCCCACCATCGGCGGGCCATCATTGAGTTGTTGCTCATGGTAGGTGAACCTGGCGAAGTTTTCAAGGGACAATGAAAGGAGGTGTTCAGCCTGGTGACTTACTTCAAATGAAGGGCAAGGCGTTAGCATGGATCTTTTCGTCTATATATATATCCCTTCTAAACGCGTCAGCGAGGAGTTCAGGCTCGTGTGTTGAACACCTTGCTGACGCTGACGTGACCTTTAAGAATGGTTTAACTAGATTTTATTAACGCTTAGTGTAGTGAGTCCTATACTTCCGTATTCCAGGCAACTCCTAAACGTTCAGTTGTGTCGGTAATTCGTATTTTTAGTTCTTCTACCCTGTGCTCCTCGCCACCGCGCTCACCAACTTTCACCATGTATACCCCATTTTTGGTAGGCTACATATAGAAACTTCATTAATCGAATCTTAGCCCTCTCCACCCTGCAATGCTGGGTGTTCATCTACTCGGCGCTGCTCTCCCTTTCGGTCCCCTTCATTCACAAGTAAAGATTTTAAAGTACCCGAAGAAAACCCAGGAATTTAGAGCTTACCGGAAGAAGATCTTCGCGTTCGCGATGACGCCTGTTTATCACTTCTTTCCAGAGTTGCAAAGGGTAGGTGATGGGGGGAAGTAGTCAGAGAGCTCCCTAGCTCACTCTCTCTCCCACACGCTCTCCCTCTCTCTCTCTCTCTCCCTCTCTCTCTCTCTCTCTGGTTATTCGGATGTTTCGACTCTAGCGCCGCCGCTCGGCCATCCAAGAGATGCTCCGGCAGACGATGGTCAACATGAGGCCGATGGTGCAGCTCAGCTCCGGCCCTGAAATTTCCCATGCCGCCATCGAACGCGTGAAACGATTCGACAAAGGGAACAAAATCCATAGCGAGACGACCAGTGTTGTTTGTTAGCAAGCGTAGTGTTTGAATGTATGCTGGATCGAAAATTTAATCTTTCTTCATTTGATTGTATGTATTTGCAAATTTTTGAAGAGTATGAGTAGCGTGACCGAGAGAGAGAGAACGAGATAGAGAGAGCGAGAGTGAGGGTGAGAGAGCGAGAGAGAGAGAGAGCGTGAGAGAGACCGAGAAAGCGTGAGAGAGAGCGAGAGAGTGAGAGAGCGAGATAGTGAGAGAGCGAGAGAGCGAGAGAGAGAGTGTGTGATATAGAGAGCGTGAGAGAAAGCTGAATATTGTCATATTTCTCTCTCGATAAATTCCATTTATTTGCACACATTTTTGCGTTTAATGCACATTTCGTTGAGAATGAGAGACATAGAGAAACCGAGCGAGGGGCCAGTGAAAATTTTGCACAACTCAAAAATGCAAAAATTGAACATGCTACGAGGCACTACCCACAAATTACGGCAAGCGACAGGAGGGGCAGGCAAGCGCAGACACTTGTGGAAACACTAAAAATCACACTCAATCTAGAATTAAATTATCATAATATCTTACAAAAAAACATTGAGGTTTCTGCGGGCTGTGGAGATTGCGGGTGAATCGACGGACGGGCGGCAAAGTTCGGCAAAAAATCGGGAACATTCAAATCATTTTGATTCCAAAAGGCAAATGGGTGAATCGATTGGGGAAATTGGCAATTATAAATATACAAAAAACACGACAAAGAAATTAGGATAAATGCAAATGCGGCGAGGCGGGGCGAGGCGCAAGTGAAAGTGTTTTGGGCTCGAATGTGTGATCGGGGAAGACATGTAAGTTAAAAGGGTGATAGGAAGAAATTCAATCTGATTTTTCTGGTGTTCGGATTCTAATTTTAGTGATTTTCAGCGTAGATCGGTGCGTGGCGTAGTCGGAAAAAATTATCGCATTTAATACGGGGTTTTTTCTACGATATATGCCAATTACAATTTTAGGTTCTTTTTCTGACCCAAAACAGTGCTGACAGTACTCCAGATGTGAAGATTTTGCATTTTTCGATCATAATCCTGGAATTCCTATTTTAGCACATCACCAGAAAAGCTCAGATTTCCTACCGTAACCTAGAAACGAGATAGGCCATTTTCAGGGGTTACGGTAGCCAGGGCAAAAAGTAGGCTACAAAACACAATACGAAGGGGGTAAAGCCATGGTTTCTATCGGGCTGCACACGACTATATAATGGCGATTCTGGTATGCGAATTGCACAAGGAAAGGCATGAAACAGAGAAAAAAGAAAGCGAGAGAGAGAGCGAGAGCGAGCGAGGGAGAGAAAGACAATGCTCAAACAGCAATTTGTGTCCTGCTCTCTGGGGTGTCGGTCGCGCACTTTTGGAGTTGATCGTGAAGGGCGTTGAGGACGACTTTCTCGTCTTCCGACACTTCGAGAAGACCGGATTCTGGATGCTCGCGGAGCCACAGGTTGATTTGCTGAAAAAAGGGAAATTACTATTGCTTTAAAGGGACCAGATCGTGAAATCCAATGTTTTATTTTTCTCTCGCATTCTCTCTCGGTCTCTCTCTCCCACTCTCTCGCTCTCTCTCTCTCTCGCTCTCTCTCTCTCTCTCTCTCCCTCTCGCTCCTTTCACCTACCTCGACATTGTTGGCGACAAACGCGACATCTTGCTGAACGTTCGGCCCTGAGTGAGGGTCGGATGGTCGTGGAGGGTGGGAGGTGGGTAGTGATACGGAGTGGAAGACGAGGGATAGGGCCCGACATCGTTGTAGGGCTGTCAGCAGCGAAGGGTCGGCCGTCGCTTGGAGGGCGTTCTAAAATGCAACACATAGGCTAACTTTAAGCTATTTTTAAACATCTTTAAATTGCCAGAATTTGTTTCGAGAAGTTCGAGAAGTTCGGTTGCGAAATGATGATTTTCGAGATGCCGATTTTTCGGAACAGTGATTTTCGAAATCGTGTATGATCCAGTTAGAAAAGGAGATTTCTAGCAACCATACCCCATCTTTGGCTTTTCCATCGTCTACCCGTTCACTCTCGGCACTGCTGGCCGAGTCGCTGTCCTCATCTATGCGGATCTGCTCCTCGTCGGCGGCCGGAGTGGTCACGGCCTCTTCTAGAAGTGACGGTTATTTGATGAACTCTCACTTTCTCTCTTTCTCTCTCTCTCTCTCTCTCTCTCTCTACCTTTTAACGGTCGCGTCTCTTCCTTCAGCGACATGTCCAAAGGGGACGTCGCGTGGTGCGGAGGTTGATTCATGGCAGCGAGCCCGCCTAGTGGGTTATGAGGGCTGAAAATATCAATATTTATTATATGTTAAATTTACCAATTAAAGATTGATAAGACTTACTTATTAAAAAGGAACTGATGGGCGAGTTCTTGTCGAAGTTGGGTGAAAGTTTGGGGGATGATTTCCGTGTCGAAACGGTCGGACGATGGGAGGGTATGCATGGGGAAGAGTAACCTGAAAGGAGAGATGAGAGAGAGAAATAGACAGAGAGAGAGAGAGAGTGAGAGAGAGAAAGAGAGAGAAAGAGAGAGAGAAAGAGAGAGACATCGTTTAAGAGAGCCGCGTACCTTAACAATCCCCTAAACCCAGGCCGATCCACGATATTTGACGGATGCCCATCCAACAGCAACATCATGGCCACCTGCGAGTTCAGCTTCATCACGTCGATGCTGGGGTTCACGTAGAGCGGGTCGGACTTTGGGGGTTCATCGAATGCCGACGCTTTGCGCACTACCGAGAAAGCGGTGCCGATGGACGGGGTGCAGGGCTTTGTTCGCAGGTCCGTCGCTTCTTCCTGGAATTTGAAAGATAAAAGAAAGAAATGTAAAATTATGATTCTATAACTTGCTTCCTAAGCCGTTTCTGCTAGTATTTGCTTTTTTTGAGAATTCCATATTACGCGAGTGTTGGGAAGACGGCTACGCAAACGCTACGCGACCCGCGACGCGTCAGTAACCCAGCGGAAACGCCACGCATCTGCAACGCGGCCGTGGCTCCACCCTAACGCGACCTTAAAGTGACCGCGCGCGCCCGAAATGCCTTCGCGGTTCAAAGGCAACGCGGCCGTAGCGCGCTCGGGACAGACTTAACCGCAACGTGACCGCAGCGCAAGCGGAACGTGACCGCTACGCAACTGCTAAGAGACAGTAACGCATCCGCAACGCGAAGCTCAAAAATAACTCTACCGTAATACGACGCGCACGCACGCGACCACACCGCAACGACAACTCGCGTTTAAACCCCCTTGAGATGCAAAAAAGACCTCTTCGGCCTCGGTCAACTCAATCTTGGCGGTGACCGGCTTCAACGGCTTTGGCGCTGGCAATCCGGCTGGTGGGAGTATCGGCGATACTGAAGTTGGTTTTAAAGGGACTGGGAAGTGCGTAGTACCTGTATTTGTGAGTGTTTGTAGAGGGTGGAAGGGTGGGGATGCTGTTGTGGAGAGGGATGACGTTGTATCAGACGCTGATGACATCGATGACGGTGATTTCTGTTGTAGCACCGACGTTTGGGGAGAGTCCTTCAGGCCCGGGCGCGCCGGCTTTTCATCTAAATTTAGAGGAATTTATGAACAGAGAAAATTAACGATTTTTTCAGATTAAATTGTATATAATTTTTATGACCTTGACGAAAACTTTTTTAAATAATTTTGTGAAATATTTTTAAACGAATCAAAAACTTTTTATTTAGCCAAATTCCGGTTTCTTATCATTTTTTTCTTTTTTAAAAATTTTTTTGAGATGTCTGAAATGTTTTTAAGATTTTTGCGTACCAAATTTGATGCTGCTCTGCCTGGCCTCCTGCAGTAGTTGGTATTCGGCGACGTGGCAACTCCGCAAATGCCGAATCATTCCAGTCGTGCTGAACAAACAATATTTTACACTTTTAAAGGGACAAGAACACCAAGGAATCGTAGAAATTACTTTTAATCCATCCAAAGGTCCTTATACCGTTTTATATCAACTTTTCGATAGAAATTGTAATTTTTTTTGCGTTTGCCCTTTTTGTAATTAATTTCGTATTTCGCAATTTATAAGACTCCAAACTACAAAATCAAGTATATTGTATTTTTCCAAAACTTTCCCTGCCAGATTTCAGCGCTCAGCCCTCGTGAAAAGGCAAAATTAAAAATTCACAAATTCGCCGCAGGAACCGCGAAACACCGACCCGCCAAAGACAATAATCTCGAATTCCGGGTGGGCTGTACAAATAACAACACACGCCCCAGCCACACATTCACACTTTCTATAAGCCGATGGCTAAAGTGAAAAGGGGAGTGGAAATCAAAGGAGAAGACTTGTGAAGAGGAACCGCTTCGCTTCACCGGGGCTTCCGGATGTCCCGTCGGGAAATATTCATTGTTTTGCCACCCGGGCTTTTTTTGGGGTTAGTGATGTAGTTAGTGAATAGAGAGAGAGAGAGCGAGGGAGCGAGAGATAAAGAGAGAGAGAGAGAGAGAGAGAGAGAGAGAGAGCGAGATAGAGAAAGGGCGAGCGAGAACGGGAAGGCCAGGAAATCAAGCAGGTTGACTAAGCCTAAGCTAAGCCTAAGCTAAGCCTAAGCTAAGCCTAAGCTAAGCCTAAGCCCCAAGCCTAGCCTAAGCCTAAGGCTAAGCCTAAGCCAAGCTAAGCCTGGCTAAGCCTAAGCTGCTGCCTAAGCTAAGCCTAAGCTAAGCCTAAGCTAAGCCTAAGCTAAGCCTAAGCTAAGCCTAAGCTAAGCCTAAGCTAAGCCCAAGCCTAGCCGAAGCCTGGCGCCCTAACAAATATTCGCGCAACCGTGTTTTTTTGGTCCTACAGCTAGCTACCTTACGATTCCAAGCCCGATTACACCAAATTCCGATACCCTACTATGTACGGAGCATTTAAGCAAAAATCTGAAAAACCGACCTGCTATTCGTGGCCTTGATCTTTTTCCGGCATAGCTGGCACTCCGCGGCTTGTTCCTCGACGGGCAGCTGGTCAAAGTATTTCCACACCTAGAAACAGCTTTATGGATTTGAATTTTAGAATTTGGCTAGCTGTCTGAAATAGCTTTAAAATAACCTTAGAGTAGCTCTACGATACCTTCAAGATTTTGGAATAATTTCGAAGATTACGATCATGAATTTGAACCCCTTACCTTGGCCGTCTTCACACTGCTCCCCCCGACTCGGGCCTTCCGAATCGGCGTCATCGTCGAGGCCGACTGTTGCTGCAGACAGGCCAGCTGCGATTGAAACTGATTACGAGAGCAAATTAATTGGATCTGGCTCTTTTCCTACCTGCTGCAAGCTGGGCAGCTGCTGCATGAAGGCGGCCGAGAAGAGCGGCTGAAATGAGCCGCCGGAGAGCATTGCCCTGCAAAATTTGGGTTATAGGTTTAAGCGTCGCAAAAAAAAGAAGAGCAAAATTATAGAAAACATTCAAAATAACCGAAATTAAAAAATCAAAAGCCTTTGAAGAAGGTCTTTCGGAAAGATCTACCAAATCTTGTTAACCTCTTATGGATTCTTGCCTTGCCGGGCCCTTTAAAAATTCAGAATGGCTGGGGTTTTTCCCAATACGTATTGAAAACAATTTTATTCGACAATTCCAACCAAATTTCTGATGGATTCTTGTTTTGCCAGTCCATTGAATCGTCGGGATCACACCGATTTTTGCGGGTAATCAGTGAGAAAATAAAACTTCACAAAGATCTTTGATTTATTATGGATTTATGCCTTGCCGGTCCCTTTAAAGTGCAAGTATCTGGCGGTTTCCGCTACAAATTCGCGAAAATACGGTAATTGAATCAACCCAATATGATTTCTTATGGATCCTTGCCTTGCCGGCACCTTTAAAATGCGATTATGTTAGCACCCAATTTCTAACTAAAGCTCCCTAAAAATCGCAACTACCAAATGAGGCGGCCTGGCCCCGCGGACTCCGCACGCACCCTAATTTGCATCTTCGGGCGCCTGGGGTACGGTTGTGGTGTAGCAAAGGGGGGAGTGAGGGGGCTAACGGTCAGTTAATGGGTGCTGGATCTCTGGGCGATGGGGAAGATACCCTCTGAGGATCACTTTAACGGAACAGGTAGTGTTTCGAAACCCGGGTACTGGGCTGTTAGCGGGGACCAAAGTCTAGACTATTTCCCCGGAAGGTGCAATTAATAAAATCCTAAATTATCTATTCGTATATTCGTCGTTTTGTCTATAAAAATTCCTCAAAAATTAAGAAAATTATGAAAAATTAGAATTTTTATAAAAATTCAATTTGTAAGATTTTGGAAGACTGATGTCTGCTCTTAGTATACTCTAAAAATCATGTTGCGCCATAAATATGCTCCAACACCTAAGAAGAATTTGATAATTATACACGCCTAGACACCTCCCCCCGCTAACAGTCCAGTACCAAAACGGCCGCCCGGAATTTGGAATGAAGCGGAATTGAGTGTGAAACCTGGAGGATGTTCGGGTTGACGCCAGATGTCAACCCCCCCACCCAGCCCTGAAGAGATTGGCCTCGAAAAAATGGAACTGGGATTGGCGGGAAGGGGAGGCGCACGCGGAGTGTGTGGATAGTATCGAAATGGACAGGGAATGCAAAGTACGGTACCCTCCTATAAATTACACGTTTTTGCGGAGCAGTAAATACAAAAATAGGTCAGTTGCGTCTACGGTACTTTTAAATGGACCGGAAATCCAACTTTGTTATCGAATTCTTGGGTTTTTCTGCGATGCGTAGCACTCAAACTGCGCAAAAGTGCCTCTAAAGGGACTGAAAAGCCAAAATTTTTATAGATTTTCAGGTTTTTCTAGAGGCTACTGGAGTAAAGACCAAAGATAATAACTAGATAGACAAAGAGAAGAAGAAAAAGAAGAGAGAGAGGGAGAGAGAGAGAGAGAGAGAGAGAGAGAGCGAGAGAGAAAGCGAAAACAGAGAGGGAGAGAGCAAAAGAGCGAAAGCGAGAGAGAGCTAGAGAGAGCATGAGGTAGCTAGTTTCTGGGATACTTTAAATCGCAAAATAACCTGAAAATATACTAATTATAGCCTCGTTGCGGGACCCAGAGATGCCAGCCGGGCCGGAGGGGGAGGGCGAGGCCGACCCCGCGGGTGGGCGGGTCGAGCGAGAGGGGTACGGTAGGTGGGGGAAGGAGGAAAGACAACGGGCTCCCACAGATCCCTTGCTCAACCTCTGCTTCTCTCTATGTTCTCCTCTCTCTCTCTCTCTCTCCCACCCTCTCGTTCTCTCCCCCCCTACCCTTCCCGCGCCGCCGGGATTCAAATCTGCCTTCAGCCAGCCATCGCCGTCTTGAAATATCTTGGGGACAGCTGTCATTACGCAAAGTGCGTACATCGTAAGAGTTAGGTGGGGGGGGTGAACTGGTGAAATTTTTGGGGGTGGCTGGCGAGAGTGGCGAGAGAGAGAGAAAAATAGAGAGAGAGCGAGAGAGAGAGAGAGAAAATTAGAGAGAGAGCGAGAGAGAGAGCACGAGAGAAAGTAAGAGAGAGTGAGAGAGAGGGAACTACGCAAAAAGCCTACTCTTTTATTCTAAGCCTACTCTCAAGCCCAAGTCACGCTGCAAAAGTCACCTTGTCAGGCAGAAACAGTCCCGAACTCTTTCGAAAAGGTTTGGCATAACGCCAGCCCCGCCTAGTCACGCTCCCGGATCGTGCGTTGGCCCGAAGGAGCATGAGGCTGCGCAGCGTGACCCAATGGGATGACTTTTAGTCTGGGAAGTGCACTTGGCAGAGCAGTAGTGGTCGAGTCAGCTTAGTCAGCCAAGTTGCAGGCGAGATCCAACTCGCTGAAAGGAACTGGGAAGCGAATGGCTAGGTAGATGAGCGCCAGCCCTGGGTTGGATTCAAGGCTCCTTTAAAAATATCTACCAAGCTAGCTAAGCTGCCTAAGCCTAAGCCTGAGCCTAAGCCTAAGCCTAAGCCTAAGCCTAAGCCTAAGCCTAAGCCTAAGCCCAGGCCTAAGGCTAAACTTAAGCCTAACCTCTTTTACTTTATATCAGCCATCTCCAAAATCCTATTCTCAGCTGGTTTCACAGAGAATTTTTTGCTCTACGGTCTTGCCTACCGTATACCCTCCCAGCTACCGTACACCAACGCCTGAAAAACAGCTTTTCTCTAAAGCTGAAGAAAAAATACGTTTCGTAAAGCGCGTCAACCGTAGTTTTTAGACGCACAGACGGCGCTGTAATTGCACATGTCAATCGTCATCCTACCCCTAAAAACCCCGGTCAAAACCGACTCGAATTTAAAGTACAGACGCGCGCCCCGGGGCTTCACAGCTGGCCGAAAAACGGGGCCGGCCGACAAAAAGTGGCCGGCCCGCTTTTCGACCCCCAAAAACGCGTGGTTAAAAAGTCAAAGTGTCGCCTGGGATTTCGCGCGCCATCGGGTTGGCCAATCGAGGGATGGGGATTCAAAAACAGGCCATGAAGCCCGAGCAGGCTTATTCAAATTTTGTGCCCTGATCACCGGGGTGTACAGTCAATATTCGGAAGGTCATGCCGGACCCACAGTGCTGCCCTGGCATTTCTAGGGCAGAGACTGGGCATTGTGTGTTTCCGGCCTTGTGGCTGGAAAATGTTAGAAAAAGGTCTCGGGATAAAGCAAGTAATTAATTTGAATTTGCGGTTCTTTCGCGTTATCGGGGGGGGGGGGAACCCAACGTTTTTCTTAGAATTTAATTTTCAACTATAAATAGAGGCGTCTTTCTAAACAATTTTTACTATACCTAAATGTAAAAACTTTAAAAATTCATTAAAAAGTATCAAAATAGCGATTTTTCGAGCAAATATGATCGATTTTGACAAAATTTTCCATTTTTAAAGTTTTTCGATGTTTTTCTAGTTAAAATTAGGTTATATTTTACTAAAAACGTTATTAGAATAATTCCTATTAATTCACTCGACATTTATAGACTTTACAAAAAGTTCCGCACCCCCCCCCCTCGATAATGCAAAAGAACCGTATTTGCATGTCGGAATTGATGACGGTATGTTACCAATAGGCTAGTCTCTGCGAATTCTCTAATATTCTCTGCTAGCCTGCCCCTAACCACAGCAACCCAATTTCAGTCCCCCTTCCGCCCTTGCCCATCCTGGGGTTGCGGTGTGTGGCAGCAGCAGCAGCAACCAACCCGCTTTTTGCAGTCTCGGACGATGGCGATCCGCCGATCGGCGAACACGTGTGAAAATTCACGCAGTTTTTCTCGATCCGCACCCGCCTCAAAATGGGTCCCGGGGCGAACGGATGCCTCCTGCAAAAAGGGGCAGGGGCGTAAAAAGGATGGTCGCGTAGCCGGCCGAGGAGGAAAAAGCCTGTCGAGTCAAAAGTCAGGAGGATCGGAGGCTGCGGAGTAAGACGGGGCTTTGAATTTGAATATGTTTTGATTTCTCTTACATAACTGATAGTACGGTAGTCTAGCAACCAGCACAGGATCAGGAGGTTCAAGCTTAGCACCAGAATTTCGCACATCTTCCTGAGCCCATGCTCAGACGTACGGTAGCATGGAGTACAAGCTCAAAACGTTAGGTAACAGCTTGGAATATGACGCTCTGCCGTAACCAGAGACTGAGAAGCTTCGAGCTCGCAGTCACCGTTTAGAAACGATTTTCGAAAGCCACATTTTCGAGAAATCAGATTTTTTACAAAAATAGGAATTCCCAAAAATCTGCGTAATCATACCGATTTTGAAGAGCAACCCTTCTACCGTACCCCCAGCCAAAGTTCTCACTCACCCTAACCGCCCCCAGGCCATTCCGTAAGCCTTTTTCGGAGACCGCCGGAAACAGTATTCCCGGGGAGCCAGAGGGGGGGGGGCTGGGTCTCACTGGCTGGCAGTATCCGAAAAACAGGCTCTCCCCGGGGGGTTGACGGCCCAATTATGCTAATTTCAGCGTCGGCGGGGTAGGGAGGAGGAGCCCATAAACGCTCGGGGGGCGCTAAGCGGTTAGTAAAACGTGAGACTAGGCCCTAGGCCTTTGATGTGGCCCCCGGCTGGGCTGGGGACCCAGCAAGTGGTTCGCTGGAAAAAAGCGGCGGGGGTGAGTGGGTGGTTAAAGGGACTTAGAAGGCAGAAATGGCTTTGAGAGGCAGGCGAAACCTCAAGCCCGAGCCCAAGCCTAAGCCTAAGCCTGTGCCTAAACCCAACCCTAAGCCTAACCCTAAGCTTAAGCATCAGCCTAAGCCCAAGTTAAAACTACACAGGCATAGCGAGCTCCAGCTTACCGTAGCCCGACCCCTTTCGCACTCCCCTATTGCGCCATGCCCCGGGTTGTAAATACTATAACGCGACCCCAATATGCGGCGCCTGCAAAGGTCCGTTTATGGTAATTTGTACGCGTTACAACCATTT